ATTCCTTTACAGCTCATTTAAGGATGTCAAAAAAACATATATGCTTCATAGTTGTTTATTAGTCACCAGGGATTTTACTTTAGCAGTTGTCATCAAGAATGGTCGATACCTTTTCCGCTTACAACATTTTCGAAATGATTAGTTTTTATATAATGAAACATTGAGCCAAAAAATTGGAGATAATTCTAGAAGATAGGCTTATGATATCAAAACCTTTTACCAGCCTGCCAATCGTTTACCTAATTAACCAACCAAAGCTAACCATTTAATCATTTGCGGGATATTTTTGTGTTTCTGAGATCTCTCCCTACCTCGTTGTTACCCCAGCGTTATGAGGTGACCGTGGCCCTAATGTCTTCTTACTATTCCTATCCATATCCATGAACAATAACGACTTAAATCCGCTTGAATCTGGCCGGTCTTTGTTTGCATTAAACAAATGACTTATCTATTTTTATATTAAAAATCATCCACAGTACTCACCAGACCTTGCGCTGACAGAATTCTACTTTTTCCAAAGCTTGGACAACTTCTTGGCAGGGAAAAAAATTCCATACTCCAGAGACAGTACAAAAACTTTGTTTCTGCCCGTAAATCTGATCTCTTCAAGAAGGCCATTGAAAAATTACCAATGCGCTGCCAGAGAAGCACTGTTAACGTGTGTGAATATGTTGCTTTATATTGCTATAAATAAAAAATGTATAAAAAAAAACTTTTAACTTTTTGTGTACTAAGCAGCAACTTTATAAATAAAGTCCTATTATTATAGTAGTTGTAAAATAGCCGGTATAACCATCTACCATTACATAACAAGTCCCAAAATAATTACGAATGTTGATTGACACTGATGTAATTTACTACGTGTACTGATTTTGTTTTTCTAAGAAAAACTACACTAATTACCACATTATTGACTATCGGAGATGCTCAGAGGACTTCACGGCTTACTTTTGTGAAGTTTCACCAAAGCTTATAGACCCAAATACAAAACAACATTGTCACAATGTCGATCCCTCGAAACAGATACTCGTTATTGCTTCACGCTAGATTTAGACGGGATTGTGATACACACACATGGATTGACAATATATCCTACCAACAATACGATACCAAGATGCGATGTGACCTAGTGGGGTAGGAATTAGGGAGCCGAATTTAGAAAATATACAGGATAGTTCTAGAATGGACGAATGATAGGGATATAGCTATAGTTTGGAGAGCCACATGGATACACCCCTATCTTTGGACATATAGCAAAAGAGACTATCAGTGCGCTCCGAAGTTCTGCACAGCGACGCAGAAAAGTATCTCACATTTAGAGCTGTAGGTCCTTGGACTTAAATACTAGTCAAGGTTTTACCATCTTCGAATTTTTAATGAATTCAAATTATTCAGTCCTATTCAATTAGAATTTATTTCTTTTATTTATGATACGTTTCATAAAATTTATCAGGTAAAAATTATTTTATGCGTTGCCTAAATGTCTGCAAACTTGATAAACCAGTTTCATCTGTGCGATCGTCGTCTAGGCAATTCAGGTTTGCATTTTTACTTATAGCCTACCTGGATTACATGTCTAAATTTAGTTTCAACAGTTTTCAAGTACTCTCCTATGAATATTAAAAATTAAATTAAACCATAGTGCACTAAAATTAATTTGCAATGCTCATTTTGAAATTGTCAATGTCATGGCAATCCAAGAATTTGTAAACCATACACGTTGCCTTCTAAGCGTGTAGCAGGTTTATGTAAATCCATATAAAATAGACTATACGTAACTTTAAAACTAATATAATAAAAAGGTAAATGACCTATGAATATGTTAGTAGGCGGATACAACGATTCACGCTAGTTATGTCAATTTGACCACGTGTATATTTGAACACAAAAGATAATATTATGTACTTTTATAGACCAACAATCGATATAGAAGCATCGGTTGTTTACAACAAGAAATTGATTTTAGATAAAGTAATTATCGAATCAATTATTTCAAAAAATCTTAAAACTGGTTAAACGCATGCGTGCTCCGATCGTGTGTCTTGTTTAATTATAGGTTTGAAATAAAATATACGCTTAACTATTGTGTTTATTTGATGGGCCGGTCATCGAAATATCCGTTACATTTAAAATGAGTATGTTTGATTTCGGTGGCCGAGCAATTCCAGACGTCAACCAGTGTCGCTTGACTAACTGGTTTGGTGACCTTTCTGTGTTGCACACGAACTTCGGTTCGGTTCCCATCACATGAATTTCTTTATTTATTGTTCGATCACAAAAACTCATACAAAAAAATTCGGCGCGGAACGAGCTAACGATTCGATCGATGGCCTTACGAAACGTAATCCGTCTGTAAAAAATATATTAATTTGGTAAGTAGCAGTGGAATGAATAATTTAATGTTTGAAATCTTATAATTTTTTTCTTAACTGATCGCTTCAAATAAGTCGTGTAATCCGGTAGCCCAGACAGACTTATCAATGAAATATAAACTGAATTACTTGAAGTACTGCTTTCTGATGTTAATTCGTTTCATATTTGATACATTCAGTTACTTCTACTCGTCTAGGAAGTATTTAGATAAGTAACGGTAAATGTGAACCGTTAAATTTGTCTTCGTAAAGAAAATACTAAGTGACCAAATTTGTAGTTGTTCGCTTGACTTACTTTAACAACCCAAAGTTTTTTTTATTTTGAGGAGAATTTAAGTCGGTAATTTTCATATTTTTTTGTTCAAAAAGTACTTACTATGTGATGAGCATCGATGTCTCTGTGTGAAGCCATAATCTACTAAGTTTCTCGCCGGGTTTTCTCAGTGGGTCTCTATTCCGATCCGCTAGTAGATTCTGCGAAGCAATTTCCTTGAGCTCGTGAGCTCATCTAACCGTTCGCGAGAAGCTGGAATAGCTAATTAGACTACCAGCCAATAGTATGAAAAATGTGAAGTTATGTCACGAGGGATTACAAGTTAAAAGATAACTTGCAAATTTTTATTAATTACCGAAATACACTGTGCCGAATGATAGGATACCGAGTCAGTACCGCCGTTTTCGTTGTTCAAACCAAAAAATCATCCAAGTTATATGTCTATGGGTCACGGTAGCCTCTGATAGGCTAGCAAACTATATGCCAAAGAAAAAGTAAGCAAAGGAGAAACAAATGGCTGATCACAAAACCTTTTTTTTGAGTGGATTGGTCGCGTTTGGCTTGCAGATTACGATACATTTAGCAAATTGCATTAGTGCTTTCTTTGAATAACAAACAATTATCTACGCGTCAATTTAATTTATTAATATGTACTTAAAATTCTAAATTCAATTATTAATGCGTTTCAAATGGAAAAGGACCAAACATGTTAAATGATGCCGTAGCTCTATATTTAGTAGATTTAACATTATATGGTCGTATCTCTCGCATCATATTATTTCATGTGCAATTTTCGCCAACCCGACTATTACAGATACTGTAGACGCGAGATAAGCAAAACTACGAAATATTTGAAATTTGGTCGTTGCAAATGAAGGACACAGACTGCGGGAAGAAACGATAAGAAGCGGCAGTTCTGCGTTAAAGGAAGGATGCACAATACCTTTATGTAGTCCTTGCTGCAGACTCGTACCACTTCGCGATGAGAAACACCAACGATTTCACTTATTTACGTATTTAACATAACAAAGACACGAAGCGCGCGCGCGGTTGTTCAGCCATATTTTTTCGTCTTTGATGTCACCACACGATCTCGCTCGCACGCGTCCGTAGGTAAAGTGCCGGAGAGGGATGGGACAGGATTTGCAAAACCAAATTAAAATGTTGCTATTTTTCGAAACTTAAAACTAACAGTTTTAAACCAGCGCAACCAGATACGAAGATTGACAACAAAATTGTATGCAAATTGTATTCTAAAACTACAATCGTTGTTCGGAATATGTTTTTTTTTTACATTTTAACACCAACAGTTAATATGATAGCGTTTACAAAAGCCTTTTGTGGCTAAAGCTATCGGCGATATCCGGTTATGCGAATTCTAAGAATGCTTAAGTGATTCATAATATTCGCATGGTCAGGTAGGCATCCTCCGCAGCCCATCTGAGGTTTTAAGGACATTTTCTTTGTAGCGGTCTTCCTTCGTTTGTATTTTACGAAAGTATTTCACCTTGATTATATTATCATACAGATGTGACTGCTCCTTTAAATGGATAGTTTGTTCTTAAAAGCATATATTTAAATTCCATAACGTTCTCTTGATGCCAGGGTCAACGAAGATAACATTTTTATTATTTTTAAACCTTGAGTCAAAAAGAGTTACAACGCGCAATGTTTAGTTTTTTCCGAGGATAAAAAAAATATTGTGCGAATTTATGTTTCACAAATTGTATTCTGGATGATTTTCACTAAACAATAAAATCGTAATGTAATGTTCACACATAGTTATTTGTCACTTTAACCACACAAAATTATGCAATTAGTCATTTTAGTGTTTGAGGATAAATTTAAGGTAAAAATATATGATCGTTAGTCAGGTTAGAAATTATTCTTCAGTTTCTTGAGAGAATATTCGTCGGCTTAAAGTAACATAGATAATACACATAAATTAGTTATAGATAAGCAACTCAAGCATTTAACAAAAATGTTTACGGGCGTCGGCCACTAGATGGCCTCGCTTCGATTAGTTTCTCATTGCTCCTGTAGATGGCAGTAACATATCACTTATCGTATATTTTATTTTAATGAAGTATTCTGTAAATTTACTATAACAAGGAAAGTCTTGTATGATTTATTATTTTTTTATTTTCTTTGTTTAGTTATACAATAATTTGATGCCTTAACTTTAATAATATATAAGTTTAGGGGCTTCCGCTACAAGATGTCGCTAGTTGCCATACAAAAAATATTTGTCTTAAAATATCGCATTTATAGGGCCCTGTAAAGTAATGTAATCCGATTATAGCCCGGGTAAATTGTTAACCTCAAAGTGAATTTCAAATATGTTTTCTTAACAGGAAGCTGGGTCTGGAGTTAGTACCGCGACGAGGGGCAGAAGCAGTCGAACCCGAAGATATAAGCCTCGTTGAGCTTTATCGAGTTCATGTCGAAAGCGCGGAGAGAGCTGCTGCGGTAAGATTGCAATTTTATCAATTTTCTTATTGATATATTACTGTAAGTTTTCTGAGAGAACGCTCAAGGACCTAGAATCTTATCAAAATGCTAGCTTATGCTGACAGATTCGCTCGTGTGCAGCACACGTGGCGTGGATGTGGGCGTCGCCATGTTCAGCAATAGTAGAAAGAAAAGTAGCATGTGTAATTCTTGTAGATTCAGATTCTATCCAAACCGAATTACGTAAAAAAAAGGATTCAGATTCTGTCTTATACGCGAAGACGTAACAGAGAGATAACAATTCCAAAAATAACAGGTTTTATGTCCTTGACAATTCGCTCCCTTACGGTTTTACCATACTTTTATAATTCGTCAGAAACTAATATTGAAATTTGTTTAAGAAAATAATCAACATTATTTGGAGTAGGTTTTTAGTTGTAGGGCCAAACATTATAGTAACCGCAAGGGCGGATCCAGCTTTGGCGCCAGGAGGGGGTCACATAGTAAAATTTTCGATGCGCTCGTTCCCAAACGCTTGCCATCATACAAAGTTATTATATTATATTAAGTTAATTAAATATTGAAGGTATGTAGTTATATAAAATCTGTATAGTGACAAAATATATAAATAAAATCATTATATTCAATTAGTGGTTCACCCAAGTCCTGGAACCACCTCAGGGGGGGTCATGACCCCATGACCCCCCCCCTGGATCCGCCGTTGAGTAACCGTCTACAATTGCGATGGTTTGTTTGTAGCCTTGAAGTAGCAATAAAATGTATGAACATAGGAGATTAGAATTAGATGTGCGGACGGTAGTAAATATTACATTATTAATTTATTTATTGCCCAAGCAGGCAGACGAGCATACGGCCCACTTGATGGTAAGTGGGTACCGTCGCTCATGGACGTCAGCAATGCCAATGCAATATTACATTAGTGTTTTAGAATTAAAGAATGCTAAACGTAGGCACACAAGACAGATAAATTTATATCATAACTGCTATTGTACAAGCCTCAAATAAACTTATTAGTCGAGTCATGCTATTTCAGATATGTATATATTTTTTCATAATAACATATTATTATTGTAATGTCCATAAACATATAAACACATCTAGATAAGCCTACTGATATAAAAATTTATAGGTACATAAGATACGGAGCGCTTATGAATTTCAAATGGGCGTATATGTCATACTCAGCTAGCCATACAGCCCATACATCACTGCGTCACCAGATTTCTCCAATAAATAAATGTTTTCATTAATTTTAGTCAAATAGTTTTTCAAAATAACAAAACAAAATAGTCTGTCGACCATAAACTGCGGCTCAACGGTTGAGCATGACTAAATAAATAAATAAAAAATCGCTGTTTTATTTTCATGCCCTGACAAATGGACTGAAACATGTCGGTGATCATGTCAACCATCCACAGCTGTGCGGTAAACAAATAAATAAATTGAAAGTATGCATCATGTTTTGAGGTTACCCTCATTCATGTAAAGGATAAATACATAACAAAAAATTATTCATGCGAATAATTCTTGTAATTGTTGCCCATAAGTTTGGGTTTTAATTGCAAAATGGAAAATCTGAACTTTTGCTGACGTTTAAATAGAAAGTAAGTTTAGTGTTATTGTGAATTCGCAATAAAATCTACGATATCACTCATAAAACAAGTCTATTATCACTATAACATATCAGACACATTATGATTTTAAGTTCAATAGAAGCCACCATTTTTTGCGCATTAGTATATATAGATTGAATTTGACCACTCATCTTCCTTGGGTCGAGCATCCTCAATGCTGAGGGTCGTGGACTCCTTTAATAACCTTTTCCTGGATTATTCTGCGCGGGCCTTGCCTATCCTCGGCTGCGCGGCTGGCATTGTGGACTGAAGTGTTGAGAGTAGAGCGTATCTGGACCGACCAACGCATTAGACTCCTGCCTCTGGGCCATCTTCCACTTTGACCACTAGCAATAGTTATATTGGTTCTATCCAAGGGGCCAAAAATTATGAAACTTAATTATGTATTATATGTAATATATGTTTTTTGAAGCATTGGGTGAAAGATCTTAGGGACAACCTGATATTAAGCGGTTGATATCAATGTTGTCACCCACCTTGAAATCAATTGTATCATTGTCTCAACTTGTGAGGCTATCCCACCCTGTACACCGAAGCCCGTGATTGCTTCGGGGCAGAAATAGGCAGGATGATGATACGTGTCCGTAGGGGTTTACCTACAAAATTTCCTACCACCGATAGAATAGATGCACCGACGTATTTCCGTAAAGAAGTTAAGACCAAAATCCCATATTTTTGTACAGAAAGGAAGATGGCAAGTTTGTCATATATACCTTTAAACTACTGGTCCATCCAGTAACCTATTAACATCAGAGCAACATAAAGCACCCTTTTTGGCCTTGAAAAACGATAGAGAAATAGCAATTTATTTAGTATATGGAAGTTTTTGCAAGGCTAATCAATTCTTCTGGAATGACACAACCACTGCTCCGTCCGTTCATTGTTAAGGACCGGTTAAAATACTTAAGCAGACTATTTCAAATGTACAAGGGAAACAGGAATATCGTCTGGACGTCGTCTGCTGTGGGCATTCGGCAGAAACCGGTCATTAAGTAACTGAGTCGCGTTCCGTACCCATAAATTATGTGGCCAGATTATATCTTAGTTGCAAATGTCTCAATTCAAAAACGTGGACGAAATTTAAACGAAGCTGGTACGTTTTGTTCTCAACTATTTCGGAGATAAGTGGATATTAGTGTCTTAGCTTGATTTGAACGTGGCTTTAGTCAAATGGGATAATGCAATATGGATGTGAAGCGCTCAGTTGCAAACGTAAGCGTAAATCAAACCCGCATAATCTTTGCGTAAATACTGATAATACTGATAATAAGGCGCTTAGTGAATCCGCATACGTAAGTACCACCATCCTGCCTATTTTCAATATGCAAAGTAGTTTTGCGTTTTCGTTTGAAGGGTGCGATAGTTGTTCTACCACAATACAACATTGGCCTCACATCGATAATCCCATTCTCACGGATCGTTTGGAACCTCTAGGTCTACGGAGGGACTTCAGCTTTCTCTGTTTTGTACCATATGCTCCATCTTCCATGCTTTGAGGAATAATTGATTGAGATTAAACTATCATCTTGTTTTTACCATCGCCCGACACCGGAGCAAAGTTCATCCATCGCCTACTGCTCGAAAAAAATAATATCAAATTGTAATCATGAGCTCTGTTCACAAACGAATACCAGGTGGATATTGAGTTGGTCTTAACTTCCTAGAAAGAATGTACTCGTTTTGATGAGGTCTAAACCGCAATTTTTAAAAAATACATAATACCACAAATTATTTGAAGGTCGGTAAAAACTTGCGTAACTATAAGAACCATAATATCGTAATAATTGTTAAGGGAGAGTGGGGATGATTTCCGAACGGGAATTTTAATTACTGAAAATTAACTGGAACCACTTGGTTCTAGCATGTTGAGTTTTGTTCACTGATTGAGAGTTTTTAAACTCTGCAATGATGTACCAAGAAAAAAAACGTCTTAACATATTTCTTAATAATTCAGCGAGCTCCTAAAATATTCTTAAAAATCCTTGCACGTTTTGTGATTACAATTTCGGGATAACGTTCCATTACCATTGTTCAACAGAACACCCAGAGAGAACATCGTGAATACTTAATAAAATTAAATTATTCAAAATTTAAAAGTTGTGCTAACGGATAATTCACCTACATTTATAGTAACAAACAGAGCTGTGCGCATTATCAAGAATGAAGAACGTGACCTTTTATCAAGTATCGACAATGTGTATTTGTTATTATATACAGATAACATATTGAATAATGTGAAAAAAATATTCCAATTCCACTTTACCGATCGGCCTATCAAAAATTACGAATTGTTCACTCGCGGCTTGGAATTAATTAAATAAATAACGCATGTGATTCGGTTTTTATTGTTCCGATAACTGATGTGTTTGTTTTTTAACATGAACTTTATAAAGATTAGTTTAAAAAGGACGTTTTTTTTTTTTTTGTTAAAATGTATGGACACCGTCACTCGTCGATTACCGGTTTCCAGAGCCTGACCTCAATAAGTTCGAGTTTCGTTAGTGAGTTCTAGATTTTTGGCAATTGTAATATTTTTATCCAGTAAAAAACCGGATCTGCTAAGATACAATTTAATGAATTATCGTATTCATGGCCGAGAAACGGAGTTTGCAAAGCTGATATTAACGAAGGGAGAAGTCAGGAACTCAAAGCCCTAAACCGTATGTTCAATGTATCAGTTAATTCAAAGCGGGCTTTCCGTGATAAGAATTTCGAATATTATTAACGCGTTTTTTTTTCTGTAAATTGTTTTGCTGTATTATTTAATATTTATAATCGACAGTAAGCGTATGAGTATACATGATAAGAAACCATTTAGAGCTGTGTCAGGGCTAATAGTGGATATAGGCTGTGTTTCAAAATGACGTTTTTATCGTCAACATTTAAAAGCAAATATTAGCTCACATAATTTTTTACGAACATTTTATTTATTCGTCTTTTGTGAAATTGAATGTATGCGGGCTATAAATAATTTATTTCTAGGTGCTAATTTCTTATTGTTAATTTGAAATATCATTGTAGGAATTAGTTGACAATGCGATAGATGACGCTATTGTTCACTCTTTCAAATCGCTTGGAAATGCAACTTTGCTGTTCAAACCATGAAATATAATATCACGATTAAGAAAACTAATAACGCCATCTATCGAGCGCTGCTACTATTGAAGCTTCTTTAATTGCTCGTATAAATTCGCTAGGTACATATTGTAAGTTCGAGCCCACAGAGTTTCTCGCCGGATCTTCTCAGTGGGTCGCGTTTCCGATCCGGTGGTAAATTCTGCGAAGCACGGCTCTTGCTAGGGTTCGTGTTAGCAACATCGTCAGGTTTGAGCCCCGTGAGCTTCACCTACTAGCCCGGTGACGCTGACATGGTCGCTCTAGACCATCAGCATCATCATCATCATTCTTTCCTATTACCCTCTGCTGGGGTGTAGGGCTCGAATCAATTTTTTCCATTTATATCGGTCTTGGGCAGTCTGTTCTAGCTCCTCCCACGTCATGCCCAATACCCCTAGCTCCTGCTCCATAGACCATGAGCATAGGTAGGAAAAAAATGTAAGTTCGCACTTCGTTGTTTCTTTGTCGCGGTACCAAAAACCAACAAAAATCTTGAAACACTGCGCCAGCACATCGCTTCGCGTGCAATTCGTGCGGTTATGTCAAAACTAAAGCTTGCGCTCAATAAAAAATATCTGCAATGCATTTTCGAACTAGTGGTCTGCGTTTTACCTCCGAAAGTATTTTTTAAATTACAACAATGTCTTTAGTCTGAAACTACAAGATTAAATATGTACTATGCGCTTACAGATTGTTCTTTTGCTTATAAGTCCTTGCCTCTAGCAAATTTTATGATTATAGGTCGACGTCAACAAGAGTTAAAAGTTTTATAAGTGATAAAATAGGGTTTATATCCTTAAATTGCTCTGAATGTAGTAGGCTGCGGCTTGGCTCTGCCCCTGGCTTTGCTGAAGTCCATGGGCGACAGTAACCACTCACCGTCAGGTGGGCCGTATGCTCGTCTGCTTACAAGGGCAATAAAAAAAAGAGAAATGAGAGACTTATGTATCTTGTCCATCTTACGCCTTAGTTGGTCCTTATTTCGAATATATACTCTATCCTCTCGTTAGAAAAATGATCTTAAGTCAGACAGATAGACAAGCTGATATACGATAACCAAAATGATAAGGGTTTGGTCTTCTAGAACCTAAAAACCAAAATTGGTTGACAATCAAATCGGTAGGCAGCGGTTTGGCTCTGCCCCTGGCACTAATGACGTCAATCAGCGAAGATAACTACTCACCATCGGGTGGGCCGTATGCTCGGCTGCATACGAGGGCAAATAAAAATTAGAAAAACAAGACTTCAAAACTCGCATGTGTGTTATTTCATTATAATGAATGGAAAATGCATGTATACCTAATAAGGGTACATACACACTTCTAAAAAAAAAGGTTCTCCAATTTTAATTCCATTCCATATACGTATTACTTATTACAAATAGAAGGCTGTTAGAAGCCCAGCAACATGTAGTCATAAATAAATAAGTACAATGATCTAAATGCACTTAATACGGCAGCCTAATTGTAAATTGATACATATGTTTACAAGCTTACTCAACACATTCACATCTGTCTGGAACGTGGTGATATGTAGCATTTATCCAGATATAACGAATCAGCGTTTTTCTCTATCTGACTGGACGGGCAGGAACGGAGTTCAGTTTTACTTTTTGAATATTTTTTTTTTTTATAATTCGGAACATAATAATTTATTTTTATATGAAATACATTCATTTTTCTTGTCGGATCTCCTCAGTTGGTCCCGGTCTGGTGGTAGATTCAGCGTAGGACTGCTCTTGCTAGTACTACTGTTAGCAAGTCTTCCCAGGTTGAGCTGTGTGATCTCACCTACTGCATCATGCGTTGTTAGAATAATCCCTAGGCTACGAACCGGTCATCGTCCTCGCCTAAACCGTCGCTTGTGACGAAGGGCTCGACGAGTAAATGATTCTATGGACACAGCCTACGGAGTTCCTCGCCGGATCTTCTCAGATGGTCGCGTTTCCGATCCGGTCGTAGATTCTGCGAAGCACTGCTCTTGCTAAGGCCACTTCCGGTTTGAGCCTCGAGAGCTCACCTACACGCTAGGGTAAAGCTGAAATAGCCTCTCAAGGCTATCAGCGTAGGTAGGAAAAAAAAGCTACGAATGATTAGGAAGAAAACAAAAATCATTCATTGAAACTACTCCACCGTGCAACGACACAAACTTTTCAACTATTGTGTCACATTACCTGGTCACATAATGTAATATAGAAAATTTGTAGGTATATGATCCAGAACAACTTGGCGTCGCTCGGTGGAGCAGGAGCTAGGGGTCTTGGGCATGACGTGGGAGGAGCTAGAACAGACTGCCCAAGACCGATATAAATGGAAAAATTTGATTCGAGCCCTACACCCCAGCAGAGGGTAATATGAAAGAATGATGATGATATGATCCTTGAAGCCGCTCTGTCTTGTAGACTGTCTTTTTAAGGACTCGGTTTTATTCCTGGAATTGTCGCAGTCGATAGGCAGCGATAAAAACTTTATCTTGTGGTCGAGATAACCGTCTGTCATCTTTAGCTTTTCAAAAAAATCATCGATGTATTTTTTTTTTCTGTTGTTCTTAAGTTGTTGTATTCGGCATTAGTAATAATATAATTCTATGACAGTCTTACCGCTAAAAGCGATTTCTTCCCAGCAACCAGTACTCAACAACAATAAAATTAGTATGCAAGAAAGGTAGGTAGGCTGAAAAAAACGTAAACATATCTTTAGAAGTAAATGCTCGTCAATTTTGCACTTACAATTATAATAGTAAGTAATATTTATCAAGAAAGAACATGACAATACAGCACTAAATTTTTGTTAGAAAACACACTTAGACACGTATCCCTCAAAAATTTGTGAAAATAATGAAGTGATCACATTAAATGTGCAATTTCGGATTTTCCATTGTCATACGGGAACCGGACATGCAGATAGCGAGAGACTCATATTCCAAGTACGAATAATCTCTATGTTCTTGATTATAATGCGAAATGGGCTTCACCAAGCTTTAAGAGCAATAAATTGGGAAATTAATTAAGCTTTCTCTGACTAATATCTAAAAAAAATCAGCCTTAATCCGTTCCCGTGACTGATACGAGTTGCCTTTAAAGGCGCGACACATATCGAACCTAGTAGAGGAGGTCGGATTTCATAACCATGTCTGGCTTATGCCAAAGTCGTATATGTACTTCAAAAGTGTGACCTAAAGATTGTCCTAGATTTTGCGTTTGTTATGAATTGATTTTGTCTTTGTAAATCATTTTGGAAAGAAACCTTTGGAGATTTTCTATGCCCATTTATTTGTTCATGGCCATTGGAATGAAAATCTCCTGGTCTTCAATTAATCTTGATACTTTTGTTACTGTTAATACTGTCTGTATACTTTTTGCAAGAACTATAAATAGCTTTGCCTATGATTTCTTGTTAAAAATACTGGTGCATCTTCATAAATATAAAGCGGCCTAGTCGTAGTATATTTTCGCAATGTGACATCTGAACGAACAATAGATAAATAGTTTTGAAAAACAGTATTGAAAAAAAATTTCAAATAAGACTCAAAATATACTGATAAAGTTTTACAATTGTAAAGTCGAAAAATGTACTGGTATCAAATAAATTAAAAGGAATAGTTTTGATTAGGTACTCTAAATTTACGTTAATCTTTGAGATCTGTATTTAAGATGTTTTGAAAACATACATTTATGTAACAACATAGATAAACAGTTTAAATATATTCGCATTCTATTATCTCGTAAAAATCGTATCTAAATATAATTTGTTTTTATTGCTTAGATGGGTGGACGAGCTCACAGCCCACCTGGTGTTAAGTAGTTACTGGAGCCCATAGACATCTACAACGTAAATGCACCACCCACCTTGAGATATAAGTTCTAAGGTCTCAGTATAGTTACAACGGCTGCCCCGCCCTTCAAACCGAAACGCATCACTGCTTCGCGGCAGAAATAGGCAGGATGGTGGTACTTACCCGCGCGGACTCACAAGAGGTCCTACCACCAGTAAGATATAATCACGGAAAGTATTATAAAATTACCTACAAGTTTATTAGTTTTAAGCAGAAATCAATTTTGTTTCCTTCAGTGGCGCGGGACCCTGCGTCGGGCTGGCGGCTCAGGCAGCAGTTTCAGCTCGGGAACGCTCACCAACAACTCGAATAATGCTCCGCCCACGACCACGGCTCAGTCCCACCACCTCATGTGCAGCATGCGAGACTTCGGTCACACCGCTGGCGGCGACGAAGCAGAGCTACTGCTGTGGCTTCATGACGCCAGACGATCGCAGCCGCTGTCGGAACGTTTCAGGATCCGTATAGCTAGAGATGGATTCTCTAATTATGTAGACCGCCTCCACGCTAACAGCACTTTATTTGCCGTAAGTATAGACTAGTATATATCTAAATGTAGTTTTATTTTTATTTTTTATTGTTTAAATGGGCGGACGAGCTCACAGCCCACAGACATCTAAAACGTAAATGCGCCAAAAGGTCTCAAGTATAGTTGCAACGGCTGCCCCACCCTTCAAACCGAAACGCATTACTGTTTCATGGCAGAAATAGGCAGGATGGTACTTACCCTTGCGGACTCACAAGAGGTCCTACACCAGGATTTTATGGTAGGCAGCGGCTTGGCTGTGCCCCTATCATTGCTGATATCCATGAGCGGCGGTAACCGCTTACCATCAGGTGGGCCGTATGTTCGTGAGCCTGCAAAGGCAATTAAAAATATCTTTAATTTTAAGTCAAACTTTGATATAGCCGACAAGCAAGCTCACCTCAAGGCATATGGTCACAGTTGCTCCATGTATGTTCACTAAAATTTTAATGTTATTATTTTATACCAAGTAAAGTATTGTAAAAAAGTCTTGAATATCAATTATGTGAAAGTTTTATTAATTAATCAGTCTACTGTTGCAATAAATATTTTGCAACGTATTACGAGGAATTAAAGTAAACGGTGTGTTATATCATTCCGTTTACGTTGAACGATGAATCAAACATTGCCAACGATGAGTCAAAAATGGGATTGTCGTGCATACTACAATGAATACGTGTACTATCTGCATAACAGCATTTGAAAAACAAAAAAAAACTACAAACAAAGATTGCTATGCTTTTATTCATCAACTTGATTCATTTATAAGTTTATCGTGATACATTGGATATGAATGATGATCTTAAGAGTTTTAAAAATCGACAATCAAGTAATAGTGATTCATTATATTTTATGCTTATATATAATGTTATATTCATTTCTATCACAACTTTCCCACTCGGTGCTATGAAAGTTCTTCAAAGGATACGTCTTTCTGGTTATTAACTTATTGGGTGTAGATGGACTGCAATATCATTTACCCTCATCTATAATCTTTAATGGTGGTAGGACCTCTTGTGTTGGAAGGGTGGAGCAGCCGTTGTAACTATACTGAGACCTTAGACCTTATATCTCAGGGTGGGTGGCGGCATTTAAGTTGTACATGTCTATGGTCTCCAGTAATCACTTAACACCAGGAGGGCTGTGAGCTCGTACACACATCTGCGATGCTGCTCGCTAAGCTAGCTGGTTGGACAAAGTTATATAACGCCACCCACTGGCGGCATTTACGTTGTACATGTCTATGGTTTCCAGTAACCACTTAACACCAGGTGGGCTGTGAGCTCGTCCACACATCTAAGCAATAAAAAAAATAAAAAAAATAAGCAAATAAAGAATTAGGAACTTATCTTAAAACTGCCTATTGTACAAATGTATCTGCTTTTTTGACTGTTTTTTGAATTTAAATTGTGTTTTGTGTGCTATAAAGTGTATTCTCTCTCTTAATCTTTAATCCAAAAAAATGGTTTTGTATCTAAGAAATATTTGTCACTTAATATCTCGCCGTCTTTCAGGACTTGTCGACAACAGACCTGACCAGGGAGCTGTGGTTGGTCGCGTGGGTGATACGGGTGGGTCGATGGGCCGGCGCGGGCAGTAGTGGTAGCGGCACCGGAGAGAGACGGGGCCCGGTGGCTAGAAGACCTCTGGGTGCCGGTGTGCTTTCCTTAGCAGATTTCCTTAGACAAACCGGGCAGCATCCTGCCGAAAAAGAGTACACCTTCAAAGTAAGATCATTTCAGATTAATTTTAGAACGAATATAAGTCGAAAATTTTAACTTTTCTATATTTTTTTTCTAATTAATTACATCCTTATTACATTAAAAATAGCACTTCACATAGAATACGAAAATAAAATACCAACAACAATATCGGAATAAAATTAAAACAAAATATTATCTTAATTCTTGTTATGAATTATATTATATATATAATTAATAACAAGATTATATTTTCTATAATAATTTATTGCTAATAGTACACCGCAACAAACCTGCTATATCTTTATTCTTTCCAGAATTTCTGTAAATTAAACGGTTGTATGGAAGAGATCGCTTTTAGCGATTAGACCGCTTATTGTACAAATACATCTGCTTGTTGACTTTTTTTAAATAGTAATTGTGTTTTGGTGTGCAATAAAGTGTATTCTCTCTCTTGACCTATAGGCTGGTTTGGATCTATAGTGCTCAACGTTGAGTAAGGAAAGCACATTTATTACAATCATACCGCAAATGCTTCGAATCGAAGTTTTTTTTTTTTTTGTTTTTTTTCCTACCTATGCTGATAGCCTTGAGAGGCTATTTCAGCTTCGCCCTAACGTTTGTAGGTGAGCTCGCGGGGCTGAACCGGAGAGCTCCTAACACTGACCCTAGCAAGAGCAGTGCTTCGCAGAATCTACCACCGGATCGGAAACGCGACCCACTGAGAAGATCCGGCGAGAAACTCAGTGGGCTGTGTCTATGGGTTAGTTCGCTCGTCGAGCCCTTCGTCGCAAGCGACGGGTTCGACGAGGACGGTGACCGGTGCTTGTGGTGCCTAAAAGCACCGTTAATGGANAGCAAGAGCAGTGCTTCGCAGAATCTACCACCGGATCGGAAACGCGACCCACTGAGAAGATCCGGCGAGAAACTCAGTGGGCTGTGTCTATGGGTTAGTTCGCTCGTCGAGCCCTTCGTCGCAAGCGACGGGTTCGACGAGGACGGTGACCGGTGCTTGTGGTGCCTAAAAGCACCGTTAATGGATCAGGAGGATCCGTAATGACGTGGGAATCGAAGTCTCATCTTTGTTGATACACCTTTCGAATATTTGGGATCGGAATTCATGATTCTTTCAAGATGAAAAAACCGAATCGTAATTGCTTGGGATATAAATAAGAACGGTACGATACGGTGGCGATAACGGGTAGCTATTATTAAGGGCAGATAGCTTACTAACTGATTAATAACTTAATGGGACTATTATCATATTATGTTCCCTGATATATAAAGAGTCAAAGGTGGAATTGATCTATGATAAAAAAGAGTTACAATATATGTAACAAATAATACCAATATACAGTAAAAGCTTCTTATTCGCGCTTCTTTCATTCTCATTTTCACTATTCGCGGATTAAAAAAATACAACCTTATTCCTATATTTGCGCCCAAAGATTTATTTATTCGCGGATCTAATAGGTACACACAAACATTGGTGAAAAGAATTTGTAGGTATCCAACCGAATATTGTAAACGCTTTTTCAAGTGGACTAATAAAAAAGCAAAATAGACCTTATTATAACTGTATCTAAGTTATGTTTATATTTTTTGTCACCTAGGAACGTATCCCTCATAACCCCATATATATAAATTATCATTCCATATTTACGGTTTCTGTATTCGCGGCATATTTACGGAACATACATACATATATAGCCCTATATATGTACAGCCCTGGAATATAGAGCTTTTACTGTATTCAATACGAATGCTATGTCCTAGAAATAGCTCTATCCTATATCTTCCTGTCGATGACGCGAAATATGACTAATGGATATCGCATAGTGGACAGCAGTGTTCTTTGAGTATTATATTAAACTAGTGGAATGCGATCGTCAACTAGCACTTACTCGTGGTCTGAGCCCCTACCATCTCTTTCGGTTTAAAGAGCAGGCAGTGACGGTATAAATTGAATTGACCTCATTTATCAAAGCTTTCATGCTGTGATGTAACAGTATTAACAGTAGTCAGCGGCTTGGCTTTCCCTCTGGCACTGCTGAAGGCATGGGCGACGGCAACCACTCACCACCCCCCCCCTTAAAATCACTTGGCCCGTAAGCTCATTCTTCCATCTGCCAAAATAAGAATAGTGTAATGTTCGTTATTTTCTAGGTATACCAATGCGAGGAGAAAGACTTCCATCAGCTACATGACATGCTTATACGAAAGCAAACAAACAAGTGCAATATTTTACCCGGACAACCCAACTACGGTTAGTAATTCTTTTAATTGCTTAAACGGTGTTTCCCGAGCGCTATGACTTGTCCTTCTTCAAACGAGGCTTGTGCAGAGTACTCAACGGTAGCCAGCGGCTTGGCTCTGCCCCTGGCATTGCTGAAGTCCATGGGCGACGGTAACCACTCACCATCAGGTGGCCCGTATGCTCGTCTGCCTACAAGGGCAATAAAAAAATGTAAGGTCAGTAGACTACACACTATCCAGTATGGATTACATCTATACTAATATATAAATCTACAGTGGTTTTTACGGATGTTCCTTTATAACTACTGAACCATGCACCTGATTGACTTGAAACTTGGTATCCATGTAGAAATTACATGTACTTAATGGATAGGCTAATATTTACATGACTGTTGGACTCCCTAATAATAATGAAAATAAATAATAATGTTAATTTTAAATGCCAAGCGAAGCGGGCGAGTACGGCTAGTTTTTAATAAAACTCAATTCGTTTTTATTGCAATAGATGCTTGGAACAGTTCAAAGCTCGCGTGATGTTAAGTGGTGTTCAGGATTGAACAAAATGATTAAATTATAATTTTGATACTTTTACTANATGACTGTTGGACTCCCTAATAATAATGAAAATAAATAATAATGTTAATTTTAAATGCCAAGCGAAGCGGGCGAGTACGGCTAGTTTTTAATAAAACTCAATTCGTTTTTATTGCAATAGATGCTTGGAACAGTTCAAAGCTCGCGTGATGTTAAGTGGTGTTCAGGATTGAACAAAATGATTAAATTATAATTTTGATACTTTTACTATTCATTGCTTCCGCGCGACTTTTTCATTCTGTGTATCATCGCCGACAAGTGGTCATTGGGGTCCAAGGACAACTCAATATGAATACCTACGTTGAGACATGACATCGAGGTCTCTGTTATATTAGTTGTCCCTCCCTACAAACCTAAAGGCATGATTGGCTCTAGAAATACAGACCTAGTCTATAATATATTCCATTTTCATAGTTTTTTGACAATATTTGACACTTCATTCTAGTGAGTTATAAAAATATATATTTAAATACAAAACTGAAATAATTTAATTATTTTATTTTATTTATATATTTAAATATCTTATTTTACATTTTTTGTTTTCGATATATATATATATATATATATGTACGATATGTCTACCCAAACACATGCTATCCAATCAGTTTTCCAGTTAGCCCTATTAAAATAACTTACACTGAATTTCTCGGGAACGAACGCATACAATTGAAAAATAACCGCATTCAAACCGCATTCGTGCAGATCTGACGTTCACGTATCTAATTTTCCTGTGTTTGTTGCGGTCGAAGTTACCAGTTATTCAAATGTGTGAATGACTAGCTTAGCTTACCCAATGAAACATTTGTTTACCGGTTCTGTGTGCCTGGTGAGTTTACGAAAGAATGGAAATGAATATAAGCGCGTTTATCGACTCAACCCGTACCTAGTTAAAGTACAAAATTGTATAGCCAAGTTTGGTTTTTAAGTAAACAAAAGCCATAGTTCATTTCCTCTAGTTCAACTATTTAGTTAACTTAATTTATTTTTTTGTAAATTTCGTAATTTACTTTAGTGTTTTTTAATAATCCTATAGACCACTGCCCTTGTCCGTGAAAATCTGAGGTTTCTCCTAACTATGTCGGTTCTTAAATTAATTTATAAAATCCACGATTTGATACACACGAAAGTAAAGACCAAAAATTCCCTCTAGTGTGAAAAAAAGTAAAACTGGTTAAAAAAAGGTTTTAAACTTAAACAGCTACTTGTATAATAATATATCGGCCTCCTTTTAAAAGTTAATACCTACGCATTTGGTAAATCTCAGTCACATCGAAAATATTTCATTTTGAAATCACTTTAAGACAACTGCTCATTTCAATTTATATTAGACATATGTCTTTTTTTGTCTAAAATGTAAAATCGATATAATAACTGACTGACTGACTCGGTGGTGCAGTAGTTACCGATCATGACTGTTGCGCCGAAGGTCGTGAGTTCGATTCCCACATCGGGCAAATATTGTGTGATGAACAGATATCTTTACTCTTTGTCTGGATGTTTATTATCTATGTATGTATATATCTAAAACATGTTTAAGTATGTTAATCAGTCTGTCACTCATAGCACAGGGAATCCTAAATTGGGACCGGACAACCTTGCGTGATTTGTTTCCAGTTATCATAGTTATAGTTACGGACGTGAAGTTCTTAGGGGAGCTGGGTGATGAGGATGGTCCATGAGAACTTGCATAAATCAGAAACCAAAAAGTAGTTGTATCGGAACCACGTTATGTTTCCGAAAAAAAAAACAGAAGTTCTTAAGACAGAAAAACGAGGAATCCGTATATAGATTAATTTTTATCATGGTTGTTCTGAATGCCCCATGAAGGAAATTTAATGCACCATGGGCAAAATTACGAGCCATGGAAGAGGGAAATGATGTTTTAAAGGCTTTTGTCACTATCAACTTGATAGTATCAAGTGTGCAGGCGACAGCGCAGACTGACTTTTAGGGAAAAGACTATGTTAATTATCTATGAATTGTTTTTTTTAAAATACAAAATACAGCGTGTTGTATTTTTTTTTTAATAAACAGGCTTGAAGAATACAGTAATGCATTTTTAATTTCAAATTCCATTTTATGACTTGTTTCAGTATCTTACCTATTATCGTAGAATTAAATAAACAAAGTGAAAAAAAAATCTTACTTACGTATTAACATAATGAAGTTTATCTACAGGTATAGTAGTTGCTCTTCGTCTTCTTGCAAATTCTGGTAGCGTGACGGAAGCTGTTGCGTCAGGCGCCACCATCACTGCGAAACGTGGATTCCCTGACGTCATCATGCCGGGTGACGTCCGCAACGACCTCTATCTCACCTTGGAGAAGGCTGAATTCGAACGCGGCGGCAAAAGCACGGCTAAAAACGTTTTAGCCACTGTCACTGTGCATGACAATACGGGACAAGTAATCAGTGTAAGTACATATACGTAATCTTACTTTAGACTTGGTGTGTCCTGCGGCTATGCCTGCGTTGTATGCTAAAAATAGTAAACGGCTTTATGGAGCTTACTGCTGAAGAATAACCTCAATTTGAAACCCACGGTACAAGAAAATGATTAGTAGTAAAATCTAGTGTTGACATAATCATTTTGTTTTTAATCCTCATAGAATAAATAGGTTTCATTTTGCAGCAATTAAACATAAAAATTTATTGCATTCAGCAGTTGCTCCCCATCAAGGGTCAGCTTAGTAAAAAATATATTACATGTTATATTAAATAAGTGTAAAAAATTACCATATACAACAGTCATTTAAGATATTACATGAATAATTTATTAACTAGTGCTAAGAATATTACTTAAATTATTCAGTTTAAATAAAATTTAAATTGTTGGATCTATCTTGCAGAATATTTCAAAATTGCTCTGTAAACTACGTAGATAGTGGAGAACTGTGAGGGAGGCCCCAGACCGGCAGTAGACGTTTAAATTTTCTTTTTTATATAAGACAAGCTTTTATTTGTGCTTCATACCTATTGTATATTCAATGAAAACCTAAAAGAAAACTCCAGTAGCGCATTCGATCTGACACTCTCATTTTAAATAGATATATCGTAGGTAATTACCTTATCTTGTTGTTAATTTGTAGCAAATCTTATTCTTTTTTTTTATGAATGAGGTATTACTGGTGACCCAGAGGATTTTTTAGTTTCACCAAGACAGGTGAGCGAGCAAAGGCTCAGCCAGGAGAGGTGGCATTTACTAACAATTGCCCGGGCGTCCAATATTTTTTTCCTTACTATTCTGATAGCCTTGAGAGGTTATATCAGCGTTACCCTAGCGTATAGGTGAACTCACGGGGCTCAAACCAGGAGGTGTTGCTAACACTGTCCCTAGCAAGAGCAGTGCTTCGCAAAATCTACCACTGGATCGGAAACGCGACCCACTGACAAGATCCGGCGAGAAACTCAGTGAGTTCTGTCTGCTGTGGGTTAATTTACTCGCTGCGACCTTCGTCGCAAGCGACGGGTTCTGCGAGGACGGTAACCGGACTTGAGGTACCTAAAAGCACCGTTAATGGATCGGGAGGCTCCGTAATGACGTGTTTAGGGCGACGTCGACTGCTTACCATTCGGTCCACGGGATCGGGTATGAGGAGACCTAACAACTCAAGAGAAGACCTGGCAAGAAACTCAGCGGGCTGATTCATGGGTTAGGTTGCACGTTGAACTCTTTGCCGAGTTCCACGTGTGCCGTTATTCTCAAAAAAATACTAATGAAATATTTTTTATGTCCCATTCCCAAATAGAATGTTATATTGATACCATATGATACAAATGCGAATCATTGTAGGACTGCGTGTGGGGCGCAAGCGGGAACGGCTCGACGTCCTACGAGTCACTGGTGCTTTACCACAACAACAGCCCGGCGTGGGGCGAGCAGCTGCGGCTGACCGTGCCTCTGGAGACCTTCACCCACGCGCACGTCAGGATCGAGTTCAGGCATTGTTCGAGTAAGTCGAATTTCGTATATAAATAATAATAATAAGCCAAATTTATTTTCAAAAACAAAGAAAGAATAAAAAAATCTATATGCGGGGTATTAAACTTCCGTGACCTAATAGGGAAATTCAGTAGGATGCTTCGCGATCGACTTTAACGATAAAATAATAATATTGTATAAAATAAGGACATCTAAATACTGATTTTCTTTTCAATTCGATTTCTTATTATTTAACTACTTCGATCTCACTATTCGCTCACAATCAGAAACGGTACCCATATCTTTACTACCTAAGTCTCTCATTCCTAACCGCCTAACTTAATTACTCAGTAATAGGTTCTTATGAAGCATTAGGAACCCATAGGATTGGCACCATTATGTCTTTCTGTTTAATGTAATGATGCAGTCCGGTTTGTGAGGCGGGTCATTGATAACCTAATACGATATAATTAAAATGTAATGCTCAAAATTTTATACATGCTTAAGGCATGGCATGTTATGAGCTCTCACTGGTAAATATCACTTATCTTGCGTATTCTGGCCACGGAATATCATTTATACTTCAAAGTGGTAAGATAAATAAGCTCTGGTATCAACTTATAACAGATGCATCGTGAGTTCGATAGTGCAATAAATTTTAAAAATTGTATTTTTTTTTTAATTTCAGCTCGAGATAAGAATGAACGAAAGCTGTTCGGGTTTGCCTTCGCAAGGCTGATGGAGGCGAGCGGAGCGACACTTAGGGACGGAGCACACGAGCTGCACGTTTATAAATGCGATGACCCTTCCAAGTGAGTGAAATGTGTTATTTTTTTTTTCTTGCTTAGATGGGTGGAAGAGCTCACAGCCCACCTGGTGTTAAGTGGTTACTGGAGTCCATAGACATCTACGACGTAAATGCGCCATCCACCTTGAGATATATGTTCTAAGGTCTCAAGTATAGTTACAACGGCTGCCCCACCCTTCAAACCGAAACGCATTACGGTTTCACGGCAGATATAGGCAGGGCGGTGGTACCCACCCGTGCGGACTCACAAGAAGTCCTGCCAACAGTAATTACGCAAATTATAATTTTGCGCCGCCGAGACAGTAAATTATCCCAATTCCAGGCTGCTATCAGCAAGTTACCTGTCGCTGCCGTCGTGCGCCAACGACGCGGCGCGCGCGGCGCCCCCCAACGGCGTCGTGCCCTCCTTCCAGAGAAGCTCCAAAGAGAATTGCACCATCAGCACGTTGTTGTGTTCCACTAAGCTAACTCAAAACGGTAATTTTACATGATAACGTGCGAAGAGTTAATTGTAATTCGTATTGGACAAATTGAAAGCTTCTTAAAATGATTTAAAAAAATCCAACCTATCATTTCTATCGAAGATATAAGATCCGACGTAAGCAAGCTTCGTTATAAGCGGCGCAGTCAGATAAAATCAGTATTTAAAACTAGTAAACAATTGAAAAACATTCCTGAATGAAGTTTCAGAACGCGATATAACGACACTCGAAAATGTACTCTATCTTTAAGCGATAAAATAAAAATATCTTTGTTTTGTACTAACAGAGGACCTGTTAGCCCTCCTCCAATGGCGCGCCCACCCTGAGAAAGTTCAAGAAACATTACTGAGGGTGCTCCGGCTCGGCGACGGACTGAGCTGCGAAGAGCTCATCAAGTTCCTCAGAGACGTTTTAGATGCTTTATTCGCTTTGTTCTCCACTGAAGATGGTAACAGGTAAATTAAAATTCTATTCGACTAAATTAAATTCGATTTTTAAATCCATTATTACTCGCCATGCAAATTCACTTTATTTTTTCTTCATAAAATCCTACTAAAGTACTCAAATGCAAAGTATGCTTAACCCCTTTTAGTGCGGGACTTATTTTCACATATTTTACAGAAAACTATAAAGAATTTTTGAAAAAAAGAACCGATTACAGAATCTTAAATTCAATCAATGCTAAAGTCACAGCAAACATTTTTTAAGGTTAATACTTTTTAACTTAATAAAAACTGGATAAATGAGCGCGCAAACAGACGGCCGTACTGGTCGATAACTGAAATAAAACTGCGTAATAGACATGTGTAAGTAATGCGAGTGATATTACTCCGGTAATATTACTCTACGATGTAATGCAACATCACACATTACGCGAAAGAAACAAACATCACACTATCACCCAACGGGCCAACATGTTTCTTTCTTTGTCGTGTAATGTTGCTTAATACACGAACGGAACCGAGCGAGCGAGACAGACCGATCGACCAAAATAAATGAGCAAGCGACACGGAATTATTCCTAGTGATTTTGAACCGTATGCCCTGGCCGCTAGGTACATTTTTATACCTATGGTACGTCTGAATTTTAATATAGGTATTTGTGTATATATTTTTTTCATGCGGCCAGCCGGTAGTTCCCCGCAAGTAGTTACATAATTTTTTATTCGCAACTTTTGTAAAATCGCTAGTCGCTCGTAATTGTTTAGTAATATTTCATATTAATTTTTGTGTTTGAATTACTTAAGCACTTGTTTGAAGATAGTTTTATTATTTGTTTTAATGCGTGTTTAATAAGTGAAAGAAAGAACGGCGTCTAAATGAAAGTACAGTCCTCCTTGGATGCACTTTGAGGATATCGCGCCGAAACAATGCATCTACTGCTCTCGTATATTAACATTATTGTCGAGCTCAATTTGCAGTCTAAGTCGCCATATGAAATCAGTTCATCCCACAATAAATTATATTAAGTAAAAAATAAAATTATTATATTATTAAGTAAGTCAATCTCTGTCAAGTAATATAACAGTGTATTACAATACAAAGTTCATACTTTGTATTGTAATACACTACTGTAATGACACACCCGAATCATTACTTATGTGATGTGTTCATACACATCACTTAGGTAATGATTCGGGTGTATAGATACAATGTATTCGTCGTCACAGTATCTATTGAACGCACCGAGTAATGTTAAGAGTGATGTGTAATGTTTTCGAGTAATATCACCTGTCTGTAAAAGTGATGTCATATCACATTACATTGGGAAGTGATGTTTTGCGCAAGTCTACTGCGTAATGAGTCGGCAATCCGACGCTCCATACTTTGTACGCATTAATACAGAGTCGTAATATCGACTGTTTGCGCGAATCGAAGGGTTAAGGAATGAAAAAATAGGTTATAACATAAATAATATTAATTAAAATTTGTTTCAGCACCCCACACTCTGGCACCGTGTTCTTAGTGCTTATATCGATATGCAGTTTGCTTGACGAAAGCAGATTCCAACATTTTAAGCCGGTCCTTGACGTGTACATCGAAGAACACTTTTCTGCTGCCCTTGTTTACAAGTACATATTTTATTTTCAATATCTACCCAAATTAAAAGAATAAAGTTTATCTCCGTCTTGCCTTTGCCTCGTGCAATGGAATCGGCCCAACAAGAATCTACGATCTTCCATCTGCGTGACGTTAATAATCCTTTATAAGGTAACATAGGATAGGAAGACAAAAATACAATTCAAAGTTCAGTTACTTATATAATAATAAATAAAATGGCGCTAGTAAAGGCGGGCTTTTAGAATTTATGTCGGGTTACTGTTTGGTTCGTTAGGAACTTCAGAACTGGAGTTTCATTGAATGATGAACTTGTGGTGGTGATCATATTATTTTACCAATTTTTCTAATGAAATACGTATTTTAACAATTGTTCACGATTGACTTCCACGGTGAAGGACTAACATCGTGTAGTTAAAATCAAGCCCGCAAAATTATAATTAGCGTAATCACTAGTAGAACCTCTTGTGAGTCCGCGCGGGTAGGTACCGCCACCCTGCCCATTTCTGCCGTAACTATACTGAGACAGAACTTATATCTCAAGGTAGGTGGCGGCATTTACGTTGTAGATGTCTATAGGCTCCGGTAACCACTTAACACCAGGTGGGCTGTAAGCTCATCTACCGACCTAAGCAATAAAACAAACCTTCCCCCAACACTAGTCACCTTAAAAACTAAAGTCTACTAAGGTCTATTCTATAGTAGTCTAATGCGATGTTGCTCACTACTTTAAATTTTTTTATTGTTTAGATGTGTGGATGAGCTCACAGCCCACCTGGTGTTAAGTGAGATATAAGTTCTAAGGTCTCAAGTATAGTTACAACGGCTGCCCCGCCCTTCAAACCGAAACGCATTACTGCTTCACGGCAGAATATGGTTGGAATGCCTTGTTACTTATTAAACAAAGCTTAACTCGATGCTCGATCGCGCACAGAGGTCTCCTGTCGTCCGTCCAACACTGCGCGGAGTGGGCCGCCGGGGCCGAGGGGCAGGAGCCGATCCGCAAGTGTCTCCGCTCGCTGGGCGCTGTGTTCAGACTGGCGGTGCAGTCCCGCAGACTGTTCGCTCGTGCGACTGGCGGACAATACGAGGACAGCTTTAGGAGGGACGTTCGAGCCGCCCTGCACGCCCTGAAGGCATTCGCTCAGCATCCGCACAGGGAACATCTGGCGCCAGCACAGGTGCGGTTTTGAATTTTCTAAATTTCATCTTAATTGATTTTTTTTTATTAATAATCTAAAAAGCTATAAAAGGTAATAATCTCAACATTCTAATGCGCTTCCCTTTGGACAGTGAAATTAGATTAATTCCCTCATTATGCATTTTATTGAATTAACTTAGCATAGTGATCCCATCACTTACTTCGAGAAATAATGTAACACTCACTCGTGTATATTGACAAAATGCTCTATAAAATCCATAGTAGTATTATTGTTCGTCGACTAACTCGACGCGTATTCGTAGTAACTCGAGTCGTTACTGTATGATTATTTTCTAACTTCCGAATTGCTACTTAGTACGTGACATACAGGAGTGCGTGTTGTTCTGTATAGATAGCGTTGATGACGTCATGGGCGAGCGTGGCGCGCGAGGTGTCGGCGGCGCTGGGCGCGGCGGAGACGGCGCGCGTGTCGGCGGCGGTGCTGGACGCGCCGGTGTCGCCGCCGCCGGCTCTAGCGCACGCACGTCTCGCCGCCGCGCATCACACGCTGCGGGGGCCGCTCGGCGAGGATCCCGGTACCACAATATTTTTTTCTACCTGTTCTATTGACCTCGTGAGTTTTTGGCGGGAACGCGAGGAGTGAAGTTGTGTGATTTGTTTTATTCTGTCTATTTAGTGTTTCTTCAGGTTTAAATGTGTTATAACGGTGGTTTATTAACTGTTTAGTATTTGTGAAAGTGCACAAATGTGGAAAAATGAAACAAAGCCGCTGAACGTAACTTCTCAGGATCTTCCAAAAAGTCCACTGAAAAAATCTCAGTAAATGACCACCACTTTACTGAGATTATATTTCATCCCATATCATCTAATTTCATTTAATTTCATCCCAGTTGATTAATGTCGCAAATTAATCATCTTCATTTCATTTCGCTCCATAGTATCATTTTTCATAAAAATAAGAATATAAATTAAAATAAGACATGACCTAAAGGTCTTGGTTACCAGGTCAAAAAGTCCCTTAAAAAATATTGACTTCGAGGAGTCCTACTAGATTCACCGGACGAGTAGGTGAGTTCACGGGGCTCTAACTTGTAGATCTACCATCGTATCGGAAACGCGACTCACTGAGAAGATCGGGGGAGAAACTCAATGGGCTGTGTCTATGGGTTAATTTACTCGACGAGAATGGTGACCGGTGCTTGAGGTTCCTAGTCCTAATCACCGTTAGTGTGTTGGGAGGATCCTGAAATTACGTGCTTAGAGCGACGTCGACTGTTTACTATTCGGTCCGCAGGAATGCATTCTATTCAGAATCTATTTATTCTTATTTTACTGCTGGTAGGAGCTCACAGCTAATCTGATGTTAAGTGGTTACCGGAACCCATAGACAACTATAACGCAAATGCCACCAACACCTTGAGATATAAGTTCTAAGGTTTCAGTATAGTTAAAACGGCTGCTCCACCCTTCAAATCGTAACGCATTACTGCTTCACGGCAGAAATAAGCAGGGTGGTAGTACCTACCCGCGCGGACTCACAAGAGGTTCTACCACCAGTAATTACGCAAATTATAATTTTGCCGATTTGATTTTTATAATACGATGTTATTCCTTCATCGTGGAAGTCAATCGTGAACATTTGTTTAGTACGTATTTCATTGGAAAAATTAGTACTCGCCTGCGGGATTCGAACACCGTTGCATCGCTAGATACGAACGCACCGAACGTCTTATCCTTTAGGCCACGACGCCTTAAAACAGAATACAGTCCTGACAATAACTGTTCACAGAGGCGCGCAACATAATACTGACGACGGCGTGCCACCACTTGCGCGTACACCTGGCTCGGCGCGACGAACTGTTCCAGTGCGCAGAGATGCTGGGCGAACTCGTCACGTTGCTCTGGAAGAAGAGAGATCCGGAACTATTGGCTGACGATGACGAGCTCGATCCGGACGTGGACGTGCTGTGTCTGAACACGCTCGACGTGCTGGTCGAGACCGTACTGCACTTGATCGGAGGCAACTCGCCCGTGCTCGTGAGTACGAAATCTACTACAGTGTGCGCTTAGTGCAAGTAAAAGTTAGTTCACATTTGTATGAAATGGGATCGTTTGCGTACGTTTGTCGCCAGGGGCGCTGTTCCAACTGCATACGAAATTGGGTTAACTTTTACGGTATCGAGTACGTTAAAAAACTCGCACTAAGCACACTGATTCCGACACTATCGATATAGTTTTACTGTGATACTAATGACTTACAAACGCTATTTTATTTATATTCTTTCATAATGTAAACGTTAATTACGTATCGGTCTATTTTGCTTTTTTTTTTTGGCGATTGAGAAATATCAAACTTACACTTTAAGAAATGAAGTGGGTAGGGAGGGGCTCAGGCATTTCGATTACATGGTTGGATTATCACGTGACCCGTCACATTCATGAGCCTCGATTTATTTTGTCTGCATTAAAACAGTTAGCTACAACAGCGCCCCTAGCAGCAAACCTAGGCAAACGTTCCCACTCCATACAAGTTTGAGTTAACTTTTACGTCATCGAGAACGTTAAAAAACTCGCACTGAGCAAACAGGCCTCCAATCAAGAAGTTCTATTTGAAAAGTAAATAGATATTATATCGTTTTTAAAGAAATCTTCTATTTATCGTTTTCAAGAAAAATATTAAAATTTATTATTTATGCTTGTGCATGGTGATCATTATCTTAGTAATACGAAAAAAAACATAAATCAAACATACATTAATGTGAATTTTGTGTACAGGGTTCGATGGTAGCGGCTTTACTGGGCGTAATGGAACTGCTGAGGCCAATACATTATCAGCGACTGTGGAGCCATCTCGCCCCTCATCCTCACGATAGGAAACCACTAAAGGACTTCCTCATGCGAGCTTTTCTCGTATTTAGGCATCTTATTGAACAAGACGTGAGTAACAATAGAACAAAAACTTAACGTTAATTTTGGGTTCTAATTAATTTAAACTAAAATAATTGAGTTCATATTACAGGTGTTTCCACCAGACTGGATGGTACTTCGCGTACAGAGTTGTAAAGTTTTATTGTCAGCTCTACAAGATCTCGCAGAGCCGTTGCTTGAAAGGTTTTTGGGAGAAGAACCACCTCAGTTCGATACACAGGTATGATTTTAAGTTTGATGACCCATTGTTTGATCAACATATTATTGGTGCAGTTGTTGAAATACTGAATGTATTAAAAATTATGCGATGCGTTAAAAATAACATTTTTCTTATTCTTTTTTTGGTGTCGTTGTATCAAATAGACAAAAATTACACATAACAGTCGTAAAAGTCTTTATTATTTTATTGTTTTTTTTTAATATAATACATTGCAGTCTATGATGCACTATTAAAATTTGAATATGCAAAATAGATGTTGAAATATGAAGGTATTTTTAACGATGTTATAAGCCTAATTTTGATGAAACAATAAAATAAAATTATTAGTATATTTTATTTTGTTTTAAGCGCGTTGTATTTTTTATAACTTGGGTTTCCCTGAATTTAGTTTGCTTTAAAGACAAATTATGTCTGAGTTAAGCTGGTTTTTTGTACATGCCATAGCTATAAATGTTGTTTTAATTTTTGTTTTTTATGTATAGTATAGAGGATTATAATAATTAAGATAATTGTTCGTGTTCCAGCTGTGGTCGGGGTACATGGAGTTGGGCGTGTCGCTGGTGACGGCGGGCGCGCTGCAGACGGAGCGGTGGCACACGCCGCGCATGCGGGCGCGCGCCGCCACGCACGTGCTCGCCGTTTGGAACATGCTCGGTTACTATACGCTACTTTTTAGTTCCAAACTGGCAATTGTATTCTTATATGGCTATGATTACCAAACTTGAGTAAAAAGTTTAATAAGTCTAAAGTTTCAAAAATTTTATCTTTATGGGACATGTGGGGAAATTCTAACCAGTGAGTTTCTTTAATTTCTTCCACATTTGTGAATGTTGGCAAATATTAACCAAGCAATGACCCGCCATTGATACACATTTAATTCTCAAGAAAAAAAAAATGAGATTGACAAAATAAGTCATTCACACAATATGACCCTAAAATCTAATTAATAATATAAAACTGAATATTCATTAATGCACGGTACAATGTAATGAAATTACTTCTGATCGCTTCATTAATAAAAAAAAACTTTCCGATATTAAATATGGAATGCTTGTCTAATTTTGACTTGAAATTACTATGAAACACAATTTAGCTAACAAAATCATTATTATATTATTATTATATTCAGCACATGATTAAAGGCGATTGCGTGCAGTAGAGAATCGAATGTTGCGATGGATGTGTGGAGTAATGAGAATGGATAGAATATGGAATGAATATGTTAGAGGAAGTTTGAAAGTGGCACCTGTGACAGAGCTGAGCTGAAGCTGAGAAGTGCGCGTTTGGGATGGTATAGACATGTGATGAGACGAAATGAAAATGAGGTTGGTAAGAGAATGTTATTGAATACGGAAGGATATAGAGGAAGTGGTAGACCTAAGAAGAAATTGATGGATTGCGTGAAAGACGATATAGAGGGAAGTGAGCGAAGAAATGGTATATGATAGAAGAGGAGAAGGAGAAAACATGTTTCGCCGACCCCAGGTGATTAGGAGGAAGGGCAGGATAATTATGATGATATATTCCGCACATTTGTCTTACTTAGTCGTGCGCACATGGCTTATGTTGGAAGCTAGATTTGGTTTTTTTTTTTACTTTTGTTATTTTTTATGCATATTTTTGGCTTGTAATGTGTATTGTGTGCCTAATAAATAAATAAAATAAATATTCGTCGTTAAGGCCCGGCCCAGCTCCACATGATACCGGGCGCGGTGGGGGCGCTGCTAGAGATCACCCTGATCAGCGAGCTGCGTCGCGGTGCGCTGGGCGCGCTGGTGTCGCTGATGGCCGCGGAGCGCGCCGCCACGGGCTCGGCGCGGCGCACCGAGGCGGCGCTGGTCGACAAACTGGACTCGCTCGTCGCCGAGAACAAAGCGGACGATCACTATCGACGTCTGTTCGATACTGTGTAAGTCGAGCTTCCATGTCAAATTTGTAGGACCTCTTGTGAGTCCGCGCGGGTAGGACCACCACCCTGCCTATTTCTGCCGTGAAGCAGTAATGCGTTTCGGCTTGAAAGGCGGGGCAGCCGCTGTAACTATACTGAGACCTTAGAACTTATATCTCAAGGTGGGTGCGCATTTACGTTGTAGATGTACACGGGCTCCAGTAACCACTTAACACCAGGTGGGCTGTGAGCTCGTCCACCCATCTAAGCAATAAAAAAAATCGATATGACATTGTTAGTGTTTGACCGTAGTCGATGTCGATAATTTTTTCGTCTATGCAATAAAACGAACGTATTTTTTTTCGGTTTTCCCAATTTATAGCCACAATTAAAACTACTCTTACAGCTTAACGTAGCAATAATGTTTTATTATCATTACATTATTTTCGGCGTTTCAAATATTTTAGCATTCATAGTCACCGACGTTAGTCAGAAATATCAATTTGTATAAGTCGTTTTAACTTCAATTATGATTGCCACTTATTCATTTCAAGTAATATTTTAGCTTAGGATATATGGTAACGATATTGTGATGTACATACAATTCTATTATAATAATTTATATCACTGTGCGATTAAAATGTCTACACAAAATTTTAAGCATGTCTTACGGTTTTTGGTTGATTAAAAAAATAAAGTCGACCAGTCGTGAACTGTAGTGGGAACGTTGACTAATTTTCTTCTAATAAATCTGCAACGAATATCAACGCAAAATAGTTCAATTACAGTTCAACGGCTTCTCAACAATTCGATCATTAAATAAAAATTCTCATCCCCATTGATTTAAATTCAAGAAACCTTAATGTATTATTTTTTTTCTCACTTTGTTTTAAAAGATTCGTGAAATTTTATAATATGGGACTGGCTATAGTATGATTATAGCATATATATGCAATTTACTGATATTAGACTCGTATCAAACACTTAAAGGAATAATTACTATAAAAGGAATAATTACTAATAGGAATAATTACTTATAGTTATTAATTTAACTAAAATACAATATTTTTTTAATGTAAATATAATTCTGTAATATGTCTGTTTATGCTACACAAAATTAGAGAGCACTTAAGTTCAGTGTAAGTATTTTTCTACAATATGTTTACTAGTAGAGGCTTATCTAGATAACTATTCGTGTAATCCAATGTGAATGATAAAAATTAATATTCAGATGTACGTTAGTCTGTTATTTTTGTGTTTGTTGACTATGTAACCTGCCATAAAACTTAGTTCAGTTTTGTTAACACTATGGAAGGTTTCTGTCATAGTACCATTAACGCACAATAGATGGCGTAGGAAATCTATTTTATATTTTTCAACCATAGTCAGAAAACTAGTGCTTTAAAAAATATTATTTGCATAATCTAAGTGACTAATTAATTATCTTTGAAACGAAACGATAAAATCGGCTTTAATAATACTAATACTTAATAAACGCTTAAATATAAGATGCGAGTTCTTGTGTGTGTGTCAATAATGTTGACATTGTCTGTCAGGCTCATGGAGAGGGTGTCGACGGAGGGGTGGCGGGAGGCGGGCGCTGCGTTCGTGGGCTGCGTGACCCGCCTGCTGGAGCGGCTGCTGGACTACAGGGCCGTCATGCAGGGCGCCGAGCACAGGGACAAGAGGATGGCTGCCACCGTCAATCTCTTGGTAAGCTTCCTACACGTCAGCTTAACACACTGTCTCCTCAAGATTGATAATTGTATGCTTGTTGGTCGCGAATGGTAAGCTCCTACACGTCAGCTTAAGCACTCTCCTCAACATTGTTAATTGTATGCTTGTTGGTCGCGAATAGTAAGCTTCCTACACGTCAGCTTAAGCACTGTCTCCTCAACATTGTTAGTTGTATGCTTGTTGGTCGCGAATGGTAAGCTTCCCACGCGTCAGCATAATCACTGTCTCCTCAACATTGTTAATTATATATGGTCGCGAAAACTTATTATTACTGAACATAAAATTTCTTACTTTCTCCGATGAACAACGCTATTCTGAATAGTAGTAATGTAGATATGCCACATTTATTCAATTATTTGGTTTATAAAACTGTCAGAAATTAAAAAAATTCTAATTCAACATACCTACCTAAGTCAAGTTTTACTAATCTTTTTAAATTATTGACAAAAATATTTGTGTGTCAATAATTATTTTGGTTGTAGAATTTCTACAAGAACGAAATCGATCGCAAGGAGATGTATCTCCGTTACGTTTACAAGCTGCACGACTTACACATCGCCTCTGATAATTTTGTCGAAGCCGGATGTACACTATTGGTGAGTTACAACCCTTAGGTTTATTTGATTAGGCTCATATATGTATAGAGTAGACTAGAATATTGAGTGGTAGCAGGCTGCATTACGAGCCTTCAAGGATACGCTTCAGAATACCTGAATTCGCATTACCTTCCTGTTTTTGTGGCCTCTACGGTCTCTGGTAAGAATCTAAGTCCGGGTGGGGTGTGAACTTCTTTAACATTTTCCTATGCGAATTAAAATAAAAAGGTGTATTGCAACACCTCCCAAAAATAAACAGAGGTGGTAACACGAAAAAAAAGAATTAAAAAAAAATTGTAGTATTATTTCAGACTAACAGCGTTAGTTTTGAATATTATGGTAGTAATCATCGTAAAATACATTATTACCACAAGTATTCATAATTAATTAATGTTAAATTGACAATAGACTTAACGACTAGTTTTGGAGAAGGGAGATGTTCTGACATAACAAATCGTGTTAAATGTCTCATCTTTAAATCTCGCAATGATATGCATATGGTTATACATTACCGCTCCATAAAATGTGAAATTACCAAATATTCAGGGGTATCTTATTATTATTAAGTACGTATTTCTGTTTATGTTGGCGCATTACTTTATTCCCCTTGTTAGATTTAGAAAAACGATACGTAATTTTTAATTGTTTTTATGGCATCCACTTGTAGTTGTATGCGGAAACGTTGAGTTGGGACAGCGACCAGACCGGAGTGGACTCGGAACATCCCGACACACCCGAGTGGAAGCGAAAGGAAGCTCTGTACAATCAAGTGCTGCAGTACTTCGATCGTGGGAAGGTTAGTTCATGAACGTTAACTGACTTGGCGTTCAATATTAGTACTTTAAGGAGATAATGGTAATGGGAAGAGGGGGCTTCGTAAAAAGACCGAGCAACCTGACCAGAGCACATGTGCTGTTTTTTATTTTGCCTACCTGTTTGCTTGTAGCCTAAGGGACTATTCCAGCTATACCGGGACGGATAGGTGAGCTCACGGACTTAACCTGAGAGAATTTGCTAACACTAGCCCTAGTAAGAGCGTCGCAGAATCTATCATCGGATCGGAAACGCGACCCACTGAAAAGATCCGGCGAGAAACTCAGTGGGCTGTGTCTATTGGTTACTTCACTCGTGGAACTCTTCGTCGTAGTCGACGAGGATGGTGAATCCGATAAGACATTTTTCGGTGACGACGGCTTTGTGTTGCCCCGTGACCCGAGTCGGATTTGTAATTTGGGGCAATAGTTTGGTTTTTTTTTTTTTTCCTACCTAAGCTGATAGCCCTAGGTGCTATGTCACTCCACGACCCACTGAGAAGATCCGGCGAGAAACTCAGTGGGCTGTGTCTGAGAGTTAATTTACTCGTCAAGCCCTTCGTCGCAAGCAATGGGTTCGACGAGAACGGTGACCGGTGCTTGAAGTACCTAAAAGCACCGTTAGGGGATCGGGAGGATCCGAGATGACGTGTTTTGGGCGACGTCGACTGCTTTCCATTCTGTCCGCAGGGTCGGGAACGTATAGTTTGGATAGTAAGGGTATGTTCTCCAGTAAGTGAGCATTGAAATTTGCGCGCAAAACCTCGGTGATAATATCTATGAGGGTAGGCTACCCTAATTGTATTAGATTTTTAAGACATTAAATGTTATGATTTCTGACGATGCCAAGTCTTAAATTATTCTTCTTTCTAGTCGTACACTCTTTACAGAGTGGTCGTGGTAACGTATCAGTCGAATCCTGCGATACCAATGCGACGCCATATGACACGATGTTTCGCAGAGTGAGAGCAATCATTTATATTGGAGTGAGTCACAGGTTTTATGAGGTCGGTCCATCGTGTTTGAAACCGTCCACGAGTTCTTTTGCCCTCGACTTTCCTTTGCACCACCAACCGCTCAATGGAGTCCTCATTACTTTGAATTCTGAGTCTTGAATAACTTCCACATTTTGTATCTCTTTGTGCATAATTTTTGACTACCAACTCGTTAAGATCCTTATTTATTGCTTCATGTTGAATTTCTACAGTGCGTTCAGTTCTTTTTAATTATACTCTGCTTCGACAGTAGACTTTTTTTATTCACTAAAAGCATGAGATAATTCTCATACTTGTTTATAAGTTCGATGTCCATAGAGTAGTATTCTGCGAATCGTTCGTCTAATACTCCGGAGAGCGAATTTGCAACGTAGCCTATTTCAGTGATAAGCTCGAGACGCTGTCTGGAAGTCATGTCATATTGCTGATTAAGTGAAAGTTTATTGTAGTGGTTGCAAATTCCTGGTATTCTTGATTTTATTGTATAACTAGCTGACCCGGCAGACTTCGTAGTGCCTTAATCGATAAATAAAAATTCAAAATTTTTATATAAAATAAACTTAAAACAAACAAAGGTATCCGTCCGACGGGGAACACATCAAAGGAAAAACAAAATTGTTACTTTTATTTAATTCCGAGCATTTTCATATTTATCTACTTTTTAAACCTTCTCTGGACTTCCACAAATAATTCAAGACCAAAATTAGCCAAATCGGTCCAGCCGTCCTCGAGTTTTAGCGAGACTAACGAACAGCAATTCATTTATATATATATATATATATATATATATATAGATTAAGTACTGCATTGTTTTTGATTTTTAGGAGTTATTTTGGCAGTGGTTAATAATGGTTCAGGGCGTTATCGGAAGTCAGATAATTAAATAACACAACTGGTTAATCAGAGCGTTTATTCGCGACTGAACTTAAAAAGTTATAAGCAACGGAGCTTGCGGGCGCAGCCGCATGTTATGACTACGCACAATTTTGTTTACATAACAATCTGTGTCACTACAGATTAGATAGATACCCACAAGGTTTCTCTAAATAGCTTATAATTTTTTTACTGCTGCTTTGGCTTGCCAATGTGGAGACATGTGATATGATGTTACTACACTATGGTTTTTACCTATTAATGTATTCTGATTTGGGATCTTTGTCTGACTCTGTTAGTTTTTTTTCCTTCTGCTTGATCAAGATAGATTCTTATAGCTCTAAGTTAGATTATTATGAATGGTTGCCAAAAATAAATCCTTAAACGACGTCCATTGCGTCCACTTGAGATAAAAGAAAAATATGCTCGTATTCCGCATTTTCTTCGGCTAGCTCACTATCATTCTCCTAGTAATGTAGTGAATGTAGGTACATGCACCAACACCACAAAAAAAATTTTTTTTGTAAACAATGACATGCCCAAGTCTTGTCAATAATACAAAAACGATGTATGATTTTTGCCACGTACCATCCGGCTATGGAATGAGCTCCCCTCCACGGTGTTTCCCGAGCGCTATGACATGTCCTTCTTCAAACGAGGCTTGTGGAGAGTATTAAGCGGTAGGCAGCGGCTTGGCTCTGCTCTTGGCATTGCTGAAGTCCATGGGCGACGGTAACCACTCACCATCAGGTGGGCCGTATGCTCGTCTGCCTACAAAGGCATTAAAAAAAATTAAAAAAAAAACGTAGTGTACGTAGCCTGTTTTTTTAAGGGAAGCAATTAATCTAAACTTTTACGTTAAAACAGTATCTTATTTGAGGGACCAGCCAAGTATTTGGCAGATTCTTCGATCCTTAAGAATGTCCTACACTTATACCACCTGCCTTTTTTATCTCCAAATACAACTTGAATTTGTTTTGTGGTGTTTTAATAAATTAAAACCGTTTGAAAGTGTCATCCACTTCCTGGATTCCGATATCCGTCACCGGACCTTGTTTGACTGTCACGGTATCTGTAACTAGACAGCTTAATTAAAAAACTTGAATACGAAGAACGTGGTAAAGACCCCGTCCACTGAATTGTGACAAAGTTATATTAAGATTGTAAGCATGTATTCATATGCATTTTCTGCATACTAAGTCTAAAATATTTTTTAATAATAAAATAAAATATAATAAAATATTCTGTAATCACTGAATCACGCAGACGACACTTGTGTAATACTTAATAATAAATAATCATATTATAATATGTATATAATTAAATTTTAATATATTAATAGTTGGTTGTTTATTATTTCAAATCACTAATTCAATCATACGTCTATAATAATATTATTTAAATATAAGAGAAAAATAAATATAATGTATTCATTTTCTAGTGCTGGGAAAAAGGATTGCCCCTCCTCCGCGAATTGGCAACCCTATACGAAATAAAGCTGTGCGACTACGCGCGCTTAGCGTACTGCTTACGTATGAACGCGACGTTCTTAGACTCGGTAATGGAACAGCTGAGGCCGGAACCCGAGTACTTCAGGGTTGGTTTTTACGGGAAAGGATGCCCGTTGTTTGTCAGGGTGAGTTATGTCTTAAAGCGTTTGTTTAGTCAGTGTGCTTTTGAATAATTTGGTAAGGATTATTGTTCGTATGATCTACATGTTTTTTTTTATTGCTTAGATGGGTGGATCAGCTCACAGCCCTCCTGATGTTAAGTGGTTACTGGAGCCCATAGACTCACCTTGAGATATAAGTTCTAAGGTCTCAAGTATAGTTATAACGGCTGCCCCACCCTCCAAACCGAAACGCATTACTGCTTCACGACAGAAATGGGCAGGGTGGTGGTACCTACCCGCGCGAACTCACAAGAGGTCCTACCACCTTCCCGCCTGTTCCTGTCTTCAAGCTTCATGCGTTTCAATTTCAAGGGCTGGACAGTTTGACAAATGTGCTTCAATAATCAATAACACTAGGTGGACCGTGACCTCGTTCACCGTGAGCGTCCTCCGGCTGTCTTCGCTCAATATTGCGATTTCCCTAAACGCAAACATAAATATAAAGCTAATTAACGAAGTGGCTTCAGTCATTTTTTGCTTTACTAATGTTATGCGCTGGGGTTCGGGATGAAAATTCTACCGAAGTGGAAATTAAAACTGTATTTATCACTTAGAACACTTAACAACCTCTCTAAAATTCTCAATTCACTTCCGCTTCTCTTCAGGTGATTCGTTCGCTGTTTCACTTTGAGTAGATCCGATTACTGGCTGATTGCGTGCCATTTCTGCAACGCTTTTATAGTCGATACATCTCTAGAATTATCGAGAACATTCCTCATAAGTCGAGTATTTTTAATGTGTGTTTGCGCTATCTGACAATAGATGGCATTGTACTTCCCGAGCGTTCTAAATGTTACTAGATCCTTTGATATTCATTTCGGCTATTCGGCGATAGGTGGCGTTACTCTTACCGGCGTAACACTAATATTCAAAATTGGAACGTTAACATTAAATGGTTTTAATTTACTATTTCAGAACAAGCAGTTTGTGTACCGCGGTCACGAGTACGAACGTATCGGCGCGTTCACTCAGCGACTGCAGGCGGAGTACGTGTCGGCTCACATACTCATGCGGAACACGCCGCCGGACGAGTCGGTCATAGCCAACGACGGACAATGTTAGTTTCAATACATCACACACTAATGAGGCCGTCAGCGCAATAGTGGCCTAAGCTTACCATAGTTAGTATGAAGGCAAAGCAGCCCACTCAGTTTCTCGCCGGATCTTCTCAGTGGGTCGCGTTTCCGATCCGGTGGTAAATTCTGCGAAGCACAGCTCTTGCTAGGGTTCGTGTTAGCAACGTCGTCAGGTTTGAGTCCCGTGAGCTCACCTACTAGTTAAGGCGACGCTGATATAGCCTCTCAAGGCTATCAGCTTAGGTAGGAAAAAGAAAAAAATAATATGGTAATTAGGTTTGAATTTTCATGAATTTGAAATTGAGTAGGCAAAAAAACCAATACGCGCAAAATAATGTTTACAAAGCTATCCGTTATCTATGGGTGAAACTATGGATAGGCCGGATTTGCATCAAAATTTATTATATTTTAAATAAATTCCAATATACGTCATATAAGCTTGAATATAAAAAATTGTGGGTTAGGCCACTTTTGCGCTGATGGCCACAAATTACATACTCTTTTTCTCAGTCGTTTGCACTCTTCAGAAATTCAGAGCACTCTTCTGGCAGAGTAATCGTGGTTATCGAACTACATATAAGCAAATTGAAATTAATTGCCTAAACACGTTGATATATACATTGCCCAATCACTCTTTGGCGGTTATGTTGGTTGTGTTGACAAAATGTTCAGGGCTTTATCGGAAGTGAAATAATTATAATAATTAAATAACACATTTTATTAACCAACACTAATTAAATAACACATTAAATAACACATAAATAACACATTTTCGAGGTGGGTGGCGCATTTACGTCGTAGATGTCTATGGGCTCCAGTAACCACTTAACACCAGGTGGGTTGTGAGCTCGTCCATTCAGATAAGCAATAAAAAAAACAACTGGTTACTCCTAGCGTTTATTCGCGACTGAACTTAAAAAGTTAAAAGCAACAGAGCTTGCGGGCGCAGCTGCATATTATGACTACGCACAGTTTTGTTTACATAACAACCTGTTTCCCTACAACTTGTGGGATGTTTAACGACAAAGGGAAGATCTTCCACCGAGCGGGTGATATTGCTCGGTAGACCGACAGTCCAAATATTGATGTTCGGAAGTTGTATATATACAAGCTTATCTTGAAAATGTCGTAAACGAGATTCAGATATCTTGTGTTCGAAACCCGTGTAATTAAGACATTGAACGTGGTCATGGTGGACACCGGTGACAACCACTATGCTTTCCTTATGGGCCGACGCCGATTCGCGTTCCACAAATTTTACATATAAAATTTTATTGGCTCATATTCTACATAGTTCTAAACAGTTAAAAACCCCGATCTAATTTTTTTTTTCTTATTAAAATCACATTTTGTATATTTGGCCAAAAAATAGACAAGTCTTTTTTATACTTAGTGACGAAATGAGCTCGTAACCGTAAACAGTGCTCCAAGGTAGTGCTGGGCACGCTCAATATAGTTTTGTACCGACATTATGTCCTCCAGCGGAAAAATTGAGATCAAACACGAGTCCATCGCGCAGTCACCGATGAGTCCCTAGGGCCTGAATGGGTGCTATTGATATCGATCACATGTGAGCCCCACGGCAGAACAACCACCAAATTTAAATTGGCGTTTAATGTGCTAACTTTCAAAATGGCGTAAAATATATTTCCTAATTTACCAAAAACCCACGTTCCTGCCTATTTTTGTCTATAAAGCAATTATCTGTTCTTGTTTGAAGAGAGGGACAGTCGGTATACTGGTACTATAGAATTGAGACTTCAAACGGTCCCCGAGATTGTGTCAGAAGCGTGAACGACGCTTTTTGAAACATTAAGCCAAAATATCTATTTTGAAACCGAAACGGAAGCAGTACTGGTAGTAGGACATCTTGAAAACGGGGAGGTACCATTGTGCTATAGAACAGGCACTTAGGACTCGGGTCTCACGGAGGGTGGCGGTATCAAGGTTTTTTTTTGCTTGGATGGGTGCTCGAGCTCACAGCCAACCTGGTATTAACTGGTTACTGGAGCCCATAGACCCACCTTGAGATACAAGTTCTAAGATCTCAAGTATAGTTACAACGGCTGCCCCACCCTTCAAACCGAAACGCATTACTGCTTCACGGCAGAAATAGGCAGGGCGGTGGTACTCACCCGTGCGGACTCACAAGAGGTCCTACCACCAGTAAAACCGTTCCAATTTCAATTCGCAGATATTCAGATCTGCAACGTGAAGCCCGTGCCGGCGCGTCGCAGCTGGCCGAGCGGCGCGCCCGACCAGGTCAAGCGGTACTACGCCTGCAACGACGTCGACACGTTCCTCTGCGACCGCCCTCTGCAGAAACCTCCCATTGACAAGGACAACGAGTTCAAGGTAACGGTTTACTGGTGGTAGGACCTCTTGTGAGTCCGCGCGGGTAGGTACCACCGCTCCGCCTATTTCTGCCGTGAAGCAGTAATGCGTTTTGGCTTGAAGGGTGGGGCAGCCGTTGTAACTATGCTGAGATCTTACAACTTATATCTCAAGGTGGGTGACGCATTTACGTTGTAGATGTCTATGGGCTCCAGTAACCACTTAACAGCAGGTGGGCTGTGAGCTCGTCCACCCGTTTAAGCCATAAAAAAAAACGCAGTGGCTTGGCTGTGCCCCTGGCATTGCTGACGTCCATGGGCGACGGCATCCACTCAGATGGGCCGCGCGCTCGTCTGCCCACATGGGCAAAAAGAAAAGCCAATCATTAGTCTTGTTTTTTTTTGTATTGTTCAGAAGACTGAAAGAAAGAGCTCATGGCACTCCGGTTAAGTGACTAGCGGAGCCTTTAAAACACGAATACGTTCTGGGTGGCTTTGAGACACGAGATTCAAGTCGAACCGGAAGTCATTACCAATTCGCAGTATATATAGGCGAGATGGTGACAAATGGTTACTATATGTATTTCATTCAATTATTTCCATTTTATACCGTAGCACATATTTGTACAATTTTTTTCATATATTTTTGATTTTATTGTATTTTATAAATTCTTCAGAGTCTCTGGATCGAGAGAACAACGTTAGTGACTGAGAGTCCTCTACCGGGTATACTTCGTTGGTCGGAAGTAGTCTCACGTTCGGTCGAGGAAATACCACCAGTGGAGGTTAGTAGCCATTATTGGACACGTTAAAACTACACATATATTTTTAAAGTGGTGACAATCAACCTAATATAAGCTAGACGTTTCGACAAATTTATTACTTAAGCATATCATGAATGAAAATATAACTGAAAACGAAATAACGCACGGTCATCTGTCCCCAAATTAGAATTCCCTTTTTTGTACCAGAGACTGACGTACATACGTTTAACAACATACATATATAGATAATAAACACCCAGACAAAGACCAAACAAACCACGGCCACGAAATCAGGGAGCCCTAACTGCTGCACCGCCGAGTCAATCAGAATATCATCTATCTTCTATATAAATAAAAATGAATTGCTGTTCGTTAGTCTCGCTAAAACTCGAGAACAGCTGGACCGATTTGGCTAATTTTGGTCTTGAATTATTTGTGGAAGTCCAGAGAATGTTTAAAAGGTAGATGCTCGGAATTAAATAAAAATAACAATTTTGTTTTTCCTTTGATGTCCCCCCCGTCGGACGGATTCCTTTTGATTGTTTTAAGTCTATTTATTTTATACAAAATTTAGATCTTTTATTTATCGATCGAGGCACTACGAAGTCTGCCGGGCCAGCTAGTAATAAATATTTATATTTTCAGTTCGCATGCGAAACTATGGAAGCGACCGAGCGCGAGCTGCGCAGTCTGATATCCCAGTACACCGCGGACCCGATGCGCAACATCAACCCGTTCTCGATGCGGCTGCAGGGCACTATAGACGCGAACGTGCAGGGCGGCATCAGCAAGTACGAGCAGGCGTTCCTGACGTCGGAGTTCGCCCGCAGCGCCGCGCCCCGGGAGGCCGCCGCCGCCGCCAAGCTGCGCCGCCTCGTGGGCTCGCAGCTCGCCGTGGTGGACGCCGGCCTGGCGCTGCACGGCCGCCTCGCGCCCGACGAGGTCAAGCCGCTGCACAGGTGCTGCACTCTACTCAAACCATCGAGATGTAGGCAGCGGCTTGGCTCTGCCCCTGGCATTGCTGAAGTCCATGGGCGACGGTAACCACTCACCATCAGGTGGGCCGTATGCCCGTCTGCCTACAAAGGCAATAAAAAAAAAAAAAAAAAAATGTTTCACTTTCCTCCTTTTTTTGAAGTGAAACTTTATTAGAATCTTTGTGATATGATTTCAAACTCGATGAAACGAAAAAATGAAACGTGAAGTTAAAATATCAATTCACAGAGGGCGTTACCTCATACTATAAAAGATGATTTACAATTATTTCTATTTAGGTTGTTATCAACTGATGTCGCTGCACGTAAATTCAATAATTCCTAAATCGCGATGACGAGATGTTACACAGTTGATAGACGTTCTCGTATTTCTCTTGCTAAATCATACTTACTTGGCGTAGAGATACCGTGATCATGTAAGCGCTTCCCCCAGGTTGAGGCTGCTCCATTACACTGCGGAGTGGTTGGTGGTTGACCCCTGCGATTATTCTTATATTTTATAAGGTTCACTTCTACCGTGAGTGACTTTCACAACACACACACATTTTTTTTCCTACCTTGCTGAGAGCTTTGAGAGGCTATTTCAGCGTAACCTTAACTAGTAGGTGAACTCACGGAGCTCAAACCTGACGACGTTGCTAAAAGCACCGTTAGTGGATCGGGAGGATCCGAAATGACATGCTTGGGGCGACGTCGACTGCTTTCCATTCTGTTCGCAGAATCGGGAATGTAGTTACCGGCGGCCACACGATGAGATGGTTCTCGTGTCGTGCCGCTTTATCGAAGTGGACTTTCCTCCTCCTTGTGTCGTTCTCCTCATTACTGAGGATCGTGATCCCTCGCTGCATCAATCTCCCTTGCACCATTGTTCTCCATCTGCTGCGATCCTTGACCACGTGGAGGGCATCGTGGAGCTGAGCTTAATGTCCAGACAAAACCAAATTTGGTCCGATCATCTCGTGAGACCGCGTCCTCGGGGACGCTTTCCCTCTACCTTGCCCGTCACCATCAGCAACTCAAGATTGTGACCCTCCTTTCGAGAAATGTGTCCGAAGAACTCCAATACTCTACGAATGTTTCACTTTATACCTAAAAAAACCCAACTTTAACACTAAAAACCGAAAATTTATGATTCATTTTTTGCATAAGCATTCCGGTGATTAGAATCACCGGATAGATAGACCTAGAGGTCAAATTACTATGATATTGTCAATGTATTGTCGTCTAACCTTAATTGGCGTCTCATATGCATCGGGCTAATGGTGAAAATTATGTCCAAAGATTTCGTTAAATAGACACAGATCAAACTAACAAGAGCGTTTTAAAATATAAATATGTTTCTGTATTGTACTTCGTGTGTTGCTCCGTATGTAATGCTGTAATAATCGGTTTGAAAGTTGAACGGACATTGAAGTTTTTTGGTGGGGGCTTAAGAGGGGTATTTAGTATTTTCGAGAAAAGCTACTTTTGATATAGAATTTATAATAAGGATGTGAACACTGTCGTCACCGCGGTGTACGCAACACACTGTATTTCTTTAAAACTTTTTCAAATTTCCCTTATGCCTAAAAAATAATCGTTTCAATCGAGTGCTTGTATTGTGAAAAAAAGACTGATTTACGGGCGGCGGTAGGCCGCGCATATATTTTCGTATTATTTCTTTTAACCGCAAAGTAATTACATTTAATATCACTACATAGTATAAAACAAAGTCGCTTTCTCTGTCCCTATATCCATATGTATATTTAAATCTTTAAAACTACGCAACGGATTTTGATGCGGTTTTTTTTTAATAGATAGAGGGATTGAAGAGGAAGGTTTATTTGTATAATAACATTCATTAAATAGTGGAGAAATCAATAATAAATTACAGTCTCCGAAGCGAAGCGAGGACGGGTCGCTAGTTATTTTATAAACAATAAAATCGGAGCCTCCAATGAACACCTCTAAATTAAAATTTTGAAAATTTCGTTTATCACGCAAATTGCTTCACTATTTTAAAAGTATTACAAATCATTATTGATGGGGTTCGAAGCAAGAGTAAATCAGATAGTTACACAAAAAAAAAACCATAAATATATCCGGAATAATAAAGATTTTGTCAACTTTTTTTCATTTAAACGCTCCTCCTGTAAACCTACTAATTTGGAGTTAGCGTAGTGTTCATTGGAGGCATCGAAATATTCTCGAAGCATACATTTCAATTTGATATACATTTTCAGACGTCTTGTGGAGAGGTTCAACCAACTACGTCAGAATTTGGGTCCCGGCCTGGCCCGAGCTCGGCGCCAGCTGTCCGAGAGCATTGTCAAGTGAGTGCAATATACATACATATATAACAGTCATCGATTTATATTTGATCCTACAATTATGTGATTGACACAACCGCATAGATTTAATTTTTTTAGCCATAATAATAATGATCATGATTATAATGAAATAATGACGAAATAAGATGTAGATGGAAGAGGTATTTTGAAAGGTTGATGAATGAAGATTACTGGTGGCAGGACGTCTTGTGAGTCCGCACGGGTAGGTACCACCACCCTGCCTATTTCTGCCGTGAAGCAGTAATGCGTTTCGGTTTGAAGGGTGGGGCAGCCGTTGTAACTATACGTGAGACCTAAGAACTTATATCTCAAGGTGGGTGGCGCATTTACGTTGTGGGTGTCTATGGGCTCCAGTAACCACTTAACACCAGGTGGGCTGTGAGCTCGTCCACCCATCTAAGCAATAAAAAAAAAACATGCATCACATGTCCATACCACGCTAACCGTTCGCTCTTTAATTTCTCAATCACACTTTCTCTGATATACTCATTCCTTATCTTGTCCATTCTTGTCAGTTTACACATCCATCTCAACATTCGCATCTCTGCCGCATTCACTCCTCTTTCATGCTTTACTTTCGTCGCCCTGAATTCAGATCCATACAGTACGACAGGTCTAATTATCGTTTTGTAAATTGTCCCCTTTGGCATAAGAGGCAGTCTACAATCGCATGCTGTTGCAGAGACCTGCCGATTTTCCATTCTTATGTGACTAGGAGATGTGTGGAAATAGTAGTGCAAGGTAAAGGAGGAAGAGGTGGACCAAAGAAGACATGGATAGTGTGTAAATGACGATATGAGAGAAAGAAGAGTGAGTGTTAAGATGACGGCTGATAGAGGAGAAGGGAATAGAAAAAATCGCTATGCCGACCCCACCTAGTGGGATAAAGTGGAGACAAAGAAGATAATTTATAGTAGAATTAATTTTTTATTTTACATTAGAAAATTTCACATTCAAAATTTCACAAGTGAATTCCGCTGGTCCGGCGTCCCGAGGTCCCGGGTGATGGGAGAGATATGCTCTGCACTAAACGCTTCACTTTCCCCTTTTGCTTTTTCATGAGTCATGCGAGGTTCGGACGTGGATTGTTGAGCGACAGGAGAGACTCCGACATACCCCGCCCACCATCCCCAGTGTCCGGAAGTCCGGCGATTTCCCCCTGACAAAAAAAACTAAGTGAATTGATCAATCATTGATATTGTTTTCAGTACGCCGCTACCTCCGGTTCCTGCCCTTGATAAGAGATCTCAAAGTATTCAACAGACCGAAAATTACTACGAAGAGGGACATTTCTATGATAAACCAGTAAGTGTTTTAGGGCTGTGTAACACTGACCGCCTGGGGACGCCTGACGTGCTGCCGTACCGAAACCGCCCACATAGAGTTGCCGACCTTCCCCTCGACGACCTCTCGGTCGGGGGTCCTAGGGGTGGCGCCGCGAATCTGGTTGTAGTGTTAACCGCGGGAAGCCCCGACTCTAACCGGGTTCTAACCTCGGGGGATTACCGGACGTCGGGTGAGAGATTGCAAGGGGAGTTGTTTGGTGGGTACGGCCCTAAAACATCCTGCGGCCTGCAGTCTTCTCTCAGCATCTGCAAACTATCAAACCCCACATACCTCGCTTGCCCCTTAGGCGCGGAAACTTAGTATGATGTTCGGCGCCCTGCGCGAAAAAAGCTGTAACACTAGTTTTAGATAACAACTAACTGTACCCGTCCGCTTCGCTGGATATTTAAAATTAACATTATTATTTCTCACCCCCACAAAGATTCTCATCATTAACGCCCCCGCAACTGGTGTAGGGAGTCTAACACTCATATAAATAGTAGCCTATCCATTACATGTATTTTCTACATGGATACCAAGTTTCAAGTCAATCGGATGCATGGTTCAGTAGTTATAACGGAACATCCGTAAAAACAACTGTAGATTTATATATTAGTATAGATAACAGATGATACGGGCATTTTTCAACCTAATTTAAAAAAAAGGAGTTATGGTCTCAACACACTCCTTGTGTTCTACAGTTATCAGTTGAAGACCCACTAGAGCAGACCATGATGTCGGCCAGTTTACCCGTGTGCGACAATCGCGACTGCAACGACGACGGCTCGATGGTGAAGTCGGCGCCGCCCTTACCTACCAGGCCCAGGTCCGGGGATCCACGGAGCCCTACGCGCCCGTCCACGGATAAATATCGGTAAGTTAACTTTTTTAATTTACATATGTAAATACTTTTTTTTAAGGGATTTTATGAGTTGGTAACTAATACCTTTAGGTCAAGTCTGATTTTAATTTTAATGAAAACTTTTTTATATGCAAAATGATATTGAATGAAATGAAATGAAACGAAATGAGATGAGATGAGATGAAATAAAGTCTCAGTAAAATGGTGGTCATTTACTGATACTTTCTCAGTGTACTATTGGAGAATCCCGAGAAGTTACGTCCAGCGGCTTTGTTTCAGGCAAAAAAGGCTTATCGATATTTCTATAATATTTACAGTATTTTTTTTAAGATTTGCCTTCATATAGATATTTGCTATAGTACGGTCTCGAATGGTGAATTTCTTCGGACACGTTTTGCAACGAGTTTGATGGTACAAGACCGCGCGGGAGGGCACAAATGCGGTGGACCGACCAAATTAAAGCTGCAGTGGGAGGTCTCCTAAACGAGTGTAGTAGAATGGCCTCGAGCAGGGAGAGATGACGGGACATCGTGAGAGGCATCAAGTCTGTCCCTTCCAACACTACACGACGATCACGACCACCCTGTCAAGTGTGACACGATTGAGAAGAAGGAATATGTCACTAATTCGAGTACTTATTTCATTGGTTCTGTTTCAGCGACTCGATCGATGTTGATTTCGTCGAAACCCGTCGTCACAGTAGAACGTCGTGGAGCGAACCCACCGATGCCCCGCCGTTGCCCCCTCGCGTGTCCGGTAAACAACAAACGACAGAATTGACTATAGTTTCATGTCCATTGCGTGGTATCATTGAAATTTTACATAATACCCTTCTCGTTTTTTTTTTTTTTTTTTGCATTTGATTACTCTCAATAATGAACTCCAATCTTAAGTGCTTCCTGCCCTAAACACAGCATTACGGATCCTCCCGATCCATTAGCGGTGCTTTTAGGTATCTCAAGCACCGGTCACCGTCCTCGCCAAACCCGTCGCTTGCGATGAAAGACTCTACGAGTAAATTAACCCATAGACAGCCCACTGAGTTTCTCGCCGGATCTTCTCAGTGGGTCGTGTTTCCGATCGGTAGATTCTGCGAAGCACTGCTCTTGCTAGGGCCAGTGTTAGCAACACACCCAATTTGAGCCCCGTGAGCTCACCCACACGTCAAGGAGAAGCTGAAATATTCTCTCAAGGCTATCAGCTTAGTTAGGAAAAAAAACATAGCACTATCACAAATCCTTATCGATGTTGAAGGCCTCTCTCTGATTTTACATAGTTACTAACCTCTACTGTCTTAACAACATTGCCTAAGAGCCTTACTTACCATACAGTCCAAGTCGGACGTCATCCGTTGTGTAATGTCAATGAACTTAAAAATGTACGTAGGGGGAGGTGTCCGGTCGTGGTGCGACGCGCCCCCCGCGCCCCCGCGCCGCGCCCGCTCCGACCCCGCAGACGACGCGCGCGACTCCGGCGTCAGTGTGGACGCGCACGCCTACACCAACGCGGACGAACACCGCATGCATAAAGGTACGCGTACGCTATCTCTACAGTAGGTAGGCAAGTGCTTGGCTCTGCCCCTGGTATTGCTGAAGTCCATGGGCGACGGTAATCACTCACCATCAGGTGGGCGTATGCTCGTCTGCCTACAGGGTACAGAGGCAATAAAAAATAAATAAATTAAAAACCATCAGATGCTTAATTGTCGAAAATACTTGTGGTAGGACCTCTTGTGATTCCGCACGGGTAAGTACCACCACCCCGCCTATTTCTGCCGTGAAGCAGTAATGCGTTTCGATTTGAAGGGTAGGCCAGCCATTGTAACTATACTGAGATCTTAGAACTTATATCTCAAGGTGGTTGGCGCATTTACGCTGTAGATGTCTATGGGCTCCAGTAACCACTTAAGACCAGGTGGGCTGTGAACTCGTCTGCCCATCTAAGCAATAAAAAAAAATAGTCGAATTTACTATTCAAAAATCTTATTAATTTGTTACCCGTATTATTAATAGATCTCGACCTAACAGTCGAATCCCTTCGCTACGAAGAAATCATCTCGATGATGTCGGAGCCTCTTCGGGTGGGAGATGACGAGATACCCCCACCGATACCTCCGAAGGGGCTCGGACATATCAGCAGCTTCGATTCCGGCCATCACGAAAACGGTGAATCGCATTGTTAATACCGTAAAATTTCTCTCGGTTGAGATTACCAAAGAAGGAGGCTATGTACCAATGTTGAGGTCGATATTCGGTGGATCTCGGAGTCAGTTCTATCTTCTACCTCGTTCGCAGCCAGCAAGGAACTCATTTAAATAGACTTTAATGAGATTAAGATTGAAGAACGGGCAGATCTCAAATAAATAATCAAGTGATGACTATTGAGGTATCTGCAGAGAGAAAAAAATCTGCGCCAGAATAATTAATGAAAATAATTTCAACGTAGTCGTTACAAATGTTTTCTGTTCAGTAATTTTATCTTCTCATTTCTAATATCCGGTGTTCATATTGTTCCATGTTTAATATAGAATTAATTTTACTTTGTAGGTTATAAATATTATTATGAATTACGTATCGCCTGACGTAAATTTTTAGCAATGTTTTTTAACTACAATTTACCAAGTTCTTCCAATAGGCAGTTGTTACATTACAGGATGAATTTTTATATCTACAAATCATGTAGTAGTTAATCTAAGCAATAGACATCGCTAAAATTAGATGCGATTTTTATGAAGAAAATGAGTTTTTGTATACTTTTTTTTAAAATCTATATACATTTTATATTTTTTTAATATAATGTCTACTAAATAAATTGCTTTCCAAGATTTATTTGTCTAGTTTCTAAGGGTAGATGTCGTTTGATGTTTCTTGTCGGACCGCGTGCGAGATTAAAGATTTGTCAATATTTATTTGACGAGGCCATAACTTGGTGATATCTAATTGAATGTAAATAAAAATACACCAAAGTACAATAATATATCTGATCATTTATTTTTATCATTTTATAATCTGTGCTTCTTTTTACGAATACAATAGCTATACGCCATTTAAAAAAAATGGCGTCTTAATTTATTCATAGGAAAAATTATCGGAATTCTATCTTTTTAAATACAACAAGTAAGCTACAATAAATTTGTTTCAACAAAAAACGTGTCCACGTCGGATCGATGGTTTTAGTGATGTTCTGTATACAGCTTCCAGTGTCCAATCGATTGGGTCTTTTAATTGATTAGCTTCTTGAAAGAATTGGCGTAACAAAAAAATATTAAACAAAAATTCCGTTCCATTCAACATATTGTATTATTTAATTGCTCAATTTAAGAATGCAATAAATAATTTAGGTTTGCGTTGTGTAACCATTTAACTTAAACATGAAGTCTGAAACTTTAATACTATATAAATTGAAAATGTGATCTTTGAAAAAAATTTTTTGGCGTCTTATATTTTATTTAACAAAATTTTATTTAATTATTACTTATATTGAAAAGACAAACTAATGACAATGCAAATATTATTATATTGATTAATTTTGAACTTTTTTAATGTTCGATCTCTTAATAAACGAATTGTTTTGAGGTAAAGTAAATAAATAATTACAAGAAAAATATGACAACACTTTTCTACGCTTGAGTATTTTAGTAAATTTAAATTAGCCACAAAAACGAGAGTACGCTAGAATATATTAAGCTATAGTCTGTATCAGTATTTAAATGTTTTCGAACATATTATTAAATCAGCTATACATTTTGGTACAAAGTTAAGATCTTTATACTATATACCGTGTTCTTTACAACAGCCTTTTCGATAATCAAGTGATATTTTGTTTTATTATATTATAGCTTTTCACACCGAAATCTAGCTTATAAGTTTTAGTACAATAAGACCTAACTTCCAACGAATAATTTCGTAATTTATTTACTTTATTCTGGATTGGAAAATTCTAACAAAGGAGTTTACGTACGTTCGCATTGCTACGTACAATTATTTAGTGTGTGATATATATTCTAATATGAAAAATAAGTCCAACGTGATTAATTATACGACCAAATTGCATTACGTATTATTACTTTCGGTAGGCAGCGGTTTGGCTCTGCCCCTGGCATTGCTTAAGTCCATGGGCGACGGTAACCACTCACCATCAGGTGGGCCGTATGCTCGTCTGCCTACAAGGGCAATAAAAAAAAAAAAAAACGTATATCGTATAGGAATGAAAGGCAATTTGGTTTAAGCGACATTTCGCTTAGTACACGAAATTTATCTTGGTAATTAACGGTCCGTTTTACTTGGTATTAGTATCAACAATTCGATATTTTTAATTGAACTTCAATTAAGTATACCCCATTCAAATAGTCGAAGAAGTTTTTCTTTTTTGTATTGATATTTTTTCCAATTTTGAAAATTTAAATGGCCCTCCTGTAAAGTTGTAAAAGTCTCCGTTTAACTAAATAGCCTTTCACCGTCGACATTAATTGCTTTAGACACACGCAATTCCTCGAAGTCAGTCGCCCAGACTAACATACGCGTGCTATTTTCTATTACAGAAATCATTTACATAATATATTATGTATATATTTATTTATTTCAAATTTGAAGTAGCTATTTTTTTAATTAAAATCAAATATTTGTCTAAAATGTCCACTAAAATAATTTTTATGTATATTATGAAATAATATTGTCGATATGTCTTCATTATTAACATAAGGAATTGTCAATTGTTGGTATTATGCAGATTATCGTAGCTGCTATAATAAAACTGCTATATTATGCTATATGCTAAATTTTATTCATTGCCGAACGATGCGATATACTATGTTCATTATGTCATTTACATATATGATTATTGTCACAAACAATAATGTAGTCAATGAATGTTGCTTGCAAATAAAATTTTGAATATATATTTTAAATGTTCATGAACTAAAAAAAGTCGACATAGCAACCATATTTTTTACATTCTTCAGTGATATTTTGATTTTGAATTTACTNTATTTTATTCATTGCCGAACGATGCGATATACTATGTTCATTATGTCATTTACATATATGATTATTGTCACAAACAATAATGTAGTCAATGAATGTTGCTTGCAAATAAAATTTTGAATATATATTTTAAATGTTCATGAACTAAAAAAAGTCGACATAGCAACCATATTTTTTACATTCTTCAGTGATATTTTGATTTTGAATTTACTGTATGAATTATGCGTAACATACAATTAAGTGATATTTTATTTTAAACATTATATTATGATATATTTTTATATTTTTCTTTTCTAAGATAAGTGATATTTTTTTATATTAACTTTGAAACGAGTATTGAGTTTTTTTATAGTTTTATTTTACATTTAACAATGCAATACTTTCTCGCATATTTTACAGCAAACTTATAATAGGTGATTTTTTAAATACGCATTTACACCTCGACAAGTATTAATAAGCCATTAGCATGCCATTTTTGTTTGTACATTTAGAATATTGACAGGTTATTCAACAGATAGTAAAAGTTTTATGTACCTACTGTTTTTTTTTTTTTTTCCTGAAATACTTTTATTTCTCAAACATTTGTTAGCATTCAACCGTGATTTCAATCTTGAAAAGCTACTGTTTTCTTTTTCAACGATAATTCTTATAAAACAAATAATTTACAGAATAAAATATATAGAATAAATTCGTATTATTGTTAACACAATTTGTGAAATGCAACTATATTATGTTACCTAAGATTGAATTGTATTGGACTGAGCGTTTGTAAGTTTTTTTTTGCAATATATGTATATCACATTTGTACGTGGAAAAAATTTATCTATATTAATAATTCATAATATTAGTTTTATAAATCGTACCAAAAAGGTAGGCCATTTTTGATATACGAATCGATCGATATCTTTCTGTCCTATTGAATGTTGTAAAAGAAAAAGAAATATGATCAAAATTTTAATTCGATGTTATGTTATATAAAATTACAATATTATATTTTCATGAAATTTGTATATTTTTGATTGAGAAAATAAATATTTAATGATAATTAAAGTAAATAAAAAATAAAATTATCACCAATACAGCTTGAATTTTGTGAAATATTAGACATGCTTTTTTTTAAATTGCAATATTTTTTTTGTCAAAATAACAGTTCGCATTACGTCTGATGCATGTACGTACGTATTCGAGAGAGCAAATTGGTCGCAAAATGATATTATTCAGTACAAAACGTAGGCTCTTGTTATTAAGGAGACTAGTGATTTGTAGCCATTTTTAAAATTTTGTGTATTACGGAGCGAAATAAATTTAGCTGTCAATATATTGAATTTGTTTTATTTTGTATCTTGTGTTACTTGGCCATCAAACGTATGAAGGAGATAATAAGTTTAGTTAATGAAACTATACACGTTAACTTAAACCATCTGTTATAGGTGGATGGAAGAGAGAAGTTTTTCTTGAAGTGTGAATATACACAAAAGTTTCATCTATGGAGGGTAGAGGTAAGGAGTACTTTATATAGGGGACAAGTTAAAAAGTTCACCTGTAAACAACAAATTATTGTTGGAAGACTCACCGAGATAGCGCGCTAGTGTAGGGAGTGGAAATGATATGAATATAGCAGTTATGAACAGAGTGAAGTGTGTTGGATTGAAGTTTTTATTTAATTATTATCCGTGTAGGCAGACAATCATACGGCCCACCTGATGGTGATTGGTTGAGTGGTGGAAATACGACAGTTATAAGTAATTTGTAACTATTAATAATGTTAACTAATGTTTTGCGGGAATGCTAAAAACGGTAGCAATAATGGAACACTCTTCACACTCTTAGAAGGATTCTAATTGTAATACAATATTTAGAAAAAACTATGGGTATGTCATTATGGCAGCCGTCGATATAATATATTGTATGCGTGAAAATATTTGTTCTAATGATTTTATCCACGAAGAAAAATTGCCAAAACATTTTTAGTAGTACCTATCTCACCCCGTTGTTTACTATTTACTAAAAAGCGTGTAACTAATGTTTCAATTAAATCAAAATTAGGCACAGTCAAAACAATTTGGTAGCAGTCTTAAGTCTAATAAAAAAAAAAATACCTAGTTAAGTAGTATCACTCTAAATTTTGAGGTTCACTGATTATGCTCATATCTTAATTAGTAAGCAAACACAGCTTATATTAATTGTACTTATTTCTATCAAACATCATTCTTAAGTTAAAAATTATCCAATAATACTTGCTTGCAATGTTTACTGTATGTCTATTGATGATAAACACTAAAACATTGAGATTCAGAACCTTAATAAGGTTTCTGTGATTTTCGAGATACTACTACAACTAAGCTTTTCTCTCGCTTTTTATAAATCAACATTTACAACCGTCTCGCTGACCTGGTTAAATGATTAGTGAACTCATATATATCAAAACTAGAATGCACCTTATCAGAAGAGGTGAAGTCTTAATTTTATTTAACTGTCCCATCCTTCTATGTAGAATTAATAAAGAATAGTGATACTTCATTTTACTGACCCACAATACGCCTTACCAATGGATTTTAACTAATTTTAGTAGATAAGATTTAATTTAGTGCTTACAAAAGACTAACTGAATGTCCCAATGAATCAATTGACCCCTAAAAAAATTGAAAGTGTGCCTTCGCCCACGGCACGAGTATCGGCAGCGCTACGTCATACAAAATCGATTATTGTATTTACATGAAGAATTTCTATATAATAAACGCTCTTAGCACTATAATTGAAGGTAATCACATCGGACACTTGACCACGCCCTTAGTGGATACATACGGCACCTGCTTAGTTGAAACTAGTCTCAAGATTTTTTCGTCTTTGAGTCTAGTATCGGATTGTCTTTTTCATAACTGTTTGGGCATATAAGTATATGTCGGATCTGATTGATCAATAGTGCTTCATCAAATTGCTCGATATAAGATGGTCCCGTTTGTAAGAAAATCTTTTTAGTTATTCAAATACTTTTTCTTTAACAAGACATTGTACTTGAAGTACTCTTGCTCGTTATTATAAACGCCAATAGCCGTCTAGATATTGTCTCGTTTCAAGCCTGATTTTAAAAACGTATAATATTATAGTTTCATAGTGTTTAGAAACGCCAAAGAGAGGCTCTATTACAGAGCATAATTGTACCTTTTATTTATTTATTTAATGTATTGCATTACTTTTTTTTTGGTGTTCAATAAAGAATACTCTCTCTCTCTCTCTCTTTCTCTCATAATTGTGCCTGGTAAAAATATCTCGCCGCACTATCCACAAATGCCGTGGTTTCACGTAGTACAAATTAACTTTGCCCCGACGACGATAATACGATATTAAATACCTTTCTCTTTCTCATTAGTTCCTCGTAAATATGACTATCTAAAGCTTGTCTATATATTTATATCCAGCTCACTGAAATAACTTGTATACCTACGAAATCCCGCAGTCGGAAACCAAGGCACATCTTATATCACAATATCTAGTAACATCTTAAGACATGTTTTGCAGACGAACGTGACGCTTACGAAACTGATAATTCCTCATTGTTCCACCCACTTCGATGCCCTTAATGGATGCAGTGAATATGTTTGACAAAATTTGACGC